GCAAGGATGAAAGCACTTGCACGTGGATATGTATATTGGCCGAATATTGACGCTCAGATCAAAGAGTATGTTGAGACATGTTCTGCGTGTGCAAAAGCTATCAAAGCCCCTCGTAAGACAGAAATGCAGAGTTGGGGGACACCAACAAATCCATGGTCAAGAGTACACGTAGATTTCGCCGGTCCCATAAACGGGAAACAGTACTTAGTGATGGTGGATGCTTTTTCAAAATGGCCAGAGATCCACTACGTTAAATCTCTTTCGACAAAAGCCACTATCGAAAAACTGAGACAAGTATTCAGCTGTTTTGGGTGTCCAGACGTATTGGTGTCTGATAATGGGCCACAGTTCACCTCCGCTGAATTCTCGAAGTTCTGCATCGCAAATGCAGTTAGGCATATAAAGACACCCCCGTACCATCCGCAGTCCAACGGTCTAGTCGAGAGGTTCGTAGATACGTTTAAAAGAGCACTACTTAAAGCTGAGGGAGAAGGGGAAATAGAAGATATGATTCAAAGATTTCTACAAACCTACCGAGCAACACCAAACCCATCAACAAATAATCAAGAAAGCCCAGCAGAAGCAATTTTTGGGAGAAACATTAGAATACCTATGGAGCAAATGAAACCAAAGCTTAGAGCCAACCTCCGAAAGAACAAACGAATGGAACAGCAATTCAACAAGCGGCATAGTGCATTGCCCAGAAGGTTTAAGGTGGGACAAGCGGTAATAACAAGAGATTTCACGGGAGTAAAGCCAACTTGGAAGTTTGGCATAATAATACGAAAAAAGGGAAAGTTATCTACGAAGTAAAAGTTGGACAAAAGATATGGGTGAGACATGTAAACCAGATACAGCCAACCAGACAAGAACGAGAGACAGAAAATGCTACAAAGTCGAATATACCAATAAATATATTAACTGAGTCGAATAATGAAATTAAAAATGATCCGAATAATAACGAGACGTGTGAAACACTCCCAAGGAGGTCGCAGCGCATCAGACGAAAACCCAGTCGAATAAAAATAAATCCTAAGGATCATTATTATCTCTAATGCTTCAAAAAAAGGGGAGGTGTTATATCCGGTGAAGATTAAACTACAGGTAAATTCCAAGGACTATTCATGGACTAATATTCTATAAATATTCTTATTGTATAACTACTCAACAATTACACCATAGATATTTATATTCCTTTTATGATAAGCTTTGTTTTGACCTATAATTTATTATTGTACGATTTACGGTTCTTAAGTTATGTTCAGTTTATTAACTACTGCCTCCCACATTCACAGCCACTTCTTGGGCTTATTTATGTGCAAATATTATTTCCTATTTTATGGTACGTTGCGGTCTGTGTGATTGATATATAAACCAAGTATGCATGAAATAAACGATCTGCTCTGATTCGGAAGCTGGTATCTTGTTCTGGACTCAAGTGGAAAGGCTCGTAGGACATAGGACCAATAAGGACGCTAAACTGCCCACATCGGTTGAACGTCATTGGTTGGCCTAGTGTGAAGATTCGTATAAGTCGTATTCGGATTGGTAGATAAATCGTGTGATCGAAAAGTCAGACATCCAAGGTCATAACACATTAAGAAATCCCTAGAGAAGAATTATCGGTTTGTTTTAAAGAGAGCAGCTGTGACCAATGGAATTCAATCATAATTAAACATTGCATTGCTGGATAATGATGATGAAGCAATATTACGAATTAAATAAAGTGGGAAATACCGGTCATTACATATCAACTGAGTAGTCTAAAGGTAATGTGCTTATCGTAATGTATGAGAATCCTTGGTCCTGTCTCTGTTAGTGTGGTGATTACGAGCTGGTGGAGAGTTCTAAACTGTACAAATAGCCGTCCAGTGGTTCAGAGTTTTCAATCGTGATACAACTAAAACCAGCTCATCTTGTCAATTGGTTTTCTTAAAAAAGCACCTGATATTATATAAAATGCTTTGTATCTTAAACAAGGTAAACACATTAACTTCATGATAACTTATTGTTTAAATAAACAATTTTGTATTTTAGGATGCATGCTCAGTCCATGTTTCAATAAAGAAATGGATCTCCTACTTCGAATCAAACAGTTGAACGCCTAAACAGAACGAAATTTATTGAATACATTTTCTAATCAACTATTATTAATAGTCATTACAAGAAACTTGACAAACTAACTAGACTGAGAAAGATTGCAGTCAACTTTCTTCAGAATGTTATACACAAAATAAATGAGAGAAGACTTATAAAATAAACTCGAGATAAAAAATTTTCCTCGTTTATATACATTTTAATGGTTGAATAACATTATTAGTCACTTCATTTGGAGCCCTTCTGAAATTACTGCCATTTCAGAGTTCAGATAAACAAAAGAGGATTGGGAGTCTATGTGTGATGACCAGACACGTCACTTCATATATTAAGTCCTGGTATCACTTTTTACTTCTAATTCTTAAATTTCTGTTCATTCTTCCTTTTTAAATCATATTCTTTATGCTTAGTTTTCTATTATCATTTATACAGCTTGTATTCAGACAATTTACTCTTTGTGCGCTAACACAAACCGTAAAAAATGGAAATGATGAATAATTGATCCAAGATCTATGTTGTTCACAATTGACTGATTGAATAACACTTAAGTAATTAGTTTAAACAGCTATGCAATCAGAATACTAAAATACAATGGATAAATAATTCTCATAAATAAGTTTTTAATACCTAAAATTTGCAAATACGACTAATGTAAGCTATGATGGATGGTGACTAGCAGTGTAGTCCAGCAGGCGCGTTTCGTCAGCTAGATGTGCCTGTATGCCAGAGTTGATGTTCACCGCATTACACGAGCAGGTGGCTATCAGGACTCAGTAGTTAAGTGAATAACGCGAAAGTGTTTGAAACGAAGGGTACTGGGTTCGAGTCTCAGAGTAAACATCAACAAGTCCGAGATGCAGGTACATCCAGCTAATGAGTCCCAAATAGGACGAAACGCGCGTCAAACTATATTCCACTGTCAATCACTATCAATCTTTGCTCATAATGCTTGTGACTTAAGGCAATATTGAGGAAGTCCTCACAGGATGCACATAACCCAACAAGAGACTGATCAATTGCAGTCCTTAAGAGCAATGGAAAAATACAAGCAAGCAATACTGAGTGAATTTAGGACTAATGTAAGTTTTCGTTTACTTAGAAACCATTTATTTTCATAGATCTACACTTCATTATGACATAATTAAACAAACGTTTCCCTTTTACAATACCATTAAAACAGTCAGAAGATACATTCTATTATGGTTATTATATTTCCTGAAGAAATATTATCAATTATACATGAGGTTGTTTTAGACTAATGCTTGTAATGTAGACAATAATTGAAAAACAAATATACATCCATGGTAGTCAGTTTTTCTTAAGTCGACCATTTATTCTAAGCAAATTATAAGTGTAACTCCATCTGGATGGAGTCCTTCTACAGTTACTGCTAATCCCAAGTCCGGGTAAATAAGGACGGTTTGGCATTGAATTAATAAACTAAATCTGTGAGAAAGAACCTTGTTAGAAACACTAACCAGGAATAAACATTTAAACCATTTAAACTCTTTCCTGGGATTTGAAGGGTTTTCGTACACAAGAGTTCTGACACTATGTGATGAAAGCCGAGTTTTTTAGTGCATATCAGGTCAATCTTACTTCTGACAGCCAGAACAGCAACTTATATGGGTGCTTGGAATTCCTTCACAATATGGGAGACAGAATGTCCTTTCAGATAATGACGGAAATGAGGTGTACAACCTGTCTCTGTTTGAAATAATTGAATCCCATTAGACAAAAATTGGACAGAAAAGACTCATTTTAAAAGAGGTGTTGTTGTATCCTGGTCGTGAATAAGAAAATACTTTGCACATATAAGAAGATACCTGAGGCTCCACAAAGAATTTCATCAAACTTTAGGTTTGCTTTAAACACTTACTGCTGATTGTCTTGAAAATAGCTACATCATGTTTAGATGAAATGAGACGCACAATGTAAAGAGTCAGCGATGGTTTTCTGTAAAAATTATCCAAAGACTAAACATATATTGACAAATCAGCATTCTTTGGAAACTCTCAAGAAAAATAGCACGCTGATTGTACAATTATCAAATGTACTACCAATTTTAGCTTCTAGAGTCTTCAATTGACCTATAATCTCGTAAATACCCTTGTCCTTTTGTTTAATCTAAACTTTGAAGTATATGTTATTTTATGTTTCCTTACTTCTTTTCTCCCTTCAGTCTAACAATCGAAAATATCTGTAGACTTGTTAGAATCTAAGATGCCAATGTTTAAAGGGCTTACTGTACAGAGTGTACCATACAATAGTTAGTAATTTGCATTTTTAAGGAAGATGATACGTTCTCTACTCGGTTACGGTAGATTATGACATACAACTAACGGCCCTCTAACATGCGGAACCCAACAGTCGCTAATGAAAAGACAGAAGAAGCAGAAGAACGGATTACTGGGAATTATCGAAAATGTTCAGGAAAACTTGGGTATTTTTAGTTATTATTACTGGTTATAACATCATGTTAATTCAGCCAATCCGCAGGGAGGCAAATTATGCTATTGTATAACTGTTGCATGCCACGTTGATATTCTAGAAGGCTCTATTAAGCTGATTATGTGGGATCTCTTCAGGTTCTTTAGAGCTTCTGGGGGCTTCATCGTACTTTTCGAAGCCGTCAGATCAATAGACAGGTTAATTTATTTCACTCGTGATATTATACTTAAAATACCAATGGTTTTGATTCATAATGAAGCATTGTTTTAATAAAACGTTAAAAATCTCTGAAACTGAACAGTACAACAGTAAAGTGATATCATCTTTGAATCCTTTGACTAAAAACTAAGAGAAAGGAAAAAAAATACTTCTTTTTTCTGTGTTTATAAAATTAACTTTAATAATTACTAAACAGAAATAAAGAAAATCTACGTGATCTAACAATGACTTACCTCTATTGGCGTATCTAAGCTCCATAAACGAAACCAAAATTTTTCATCCCATATAGGATTACAACTATTTGGAATCATTCGACTTCTAGCTAAAACACTTCCATTGTGCTTGATTTTTACATATGGATTAGTTTTACCTGAGAAAATTAATGTACAGGATAGTATGCGGTTGACTTATTTTAGAACATAATGGTTGTCTATACAAGAGATATTGCATAGTTTACTTTCGATCACTTTGTCGTATGATCTATATTGACTAGTAATTGCGTTCTAAAGAATTAAATAAATGATTTGTCGATACTAAACGTACGAAACAATGACTTAAAAGATAATCGACTGGACACACTAGATCACGATACTTGACCAAGTGGTACGCGCCGCTTAATTTCGACATATGATTAAGAACCAGGTAGTCGGAACTAAATAACGATTTACCGCCACAGTGTGAAATCCAGAGTTCAATACTATGAAATTAATAGTGGAAAGGAGTCTATAATACTAGGCAGGGCCTCATACATGTAACGAAGTACGATATCTATCTATGCTTACAAACCAATCAAGACTATCACTGATACATCAAGCTTTAAAAGTAGTACATCAAACAAACATATTTATTTTATTTTATTTCAACAACCGAACATTTTCCATGTTTGAATTTCGTCTACTTAAAAAATTGATCAAGCTGAACTATAAGTGAGCTTGAAGAACATTTTAAATGAGGTTGACGAATTCCTGACCAATTCAGTCAATCAGAAGACAAAATTATGAATAAATGAATTAAAGTAAAGCATCTTGGATTTTGCAGGAATAACAATCATCGATATGATCACAAGCATTAGCTTATTATAGCTGATGTAATTTCATGATCAAAAATCTAACCTTAATTCCATTCTTTATTTCATCATCGGTAGACGATATGTTGTTTGGTATAGGCTTTGTGACCTTAAAGCTACTTGCATGTTCGTCATTTACTCGCCCCTATAGTTCACCTTTACCAATAAATCTTTGCTTATCAAAACTTGAGTTTTTCACTTAGTACAAATTTGCATAATTCTGGCATTCTTATTTTATATCAGTATACAAAATGGCAAAGTATTTGTTATATCCGAGTGAAGATTAAGTTACAGGTAACTTCTGAGGACTATTAATGGACTAATATTCTATAAATATTCTCATTGTATAATTATTCAATAATTACATTATATGTATCTATATTCCTCTAATTATAAGCTTTATTTTGATCTATAATTTATTATTGTGCGATTTACGGTTCTTAATCTATGTTCAGTCTATTAATTACTATCTCCCGCGTTCATAGCCACTTTTTCGCTTATTTGTGTACACATGTTATTTTCTATCTTATGGTATGTTGTGGTCTATCTGATTGATATATAAACCAAGTATGTCTAAAATAAACGATTCGATTGGATTCGGTCCAATTCACATAGCAGAAACTGGTGTTGTGTTCTGGACTCTAGTGGACGAGCTAGGAGGATATAGGACCAATAAGGACGCTAGACTGCTCATACCGGTTGAATATCATTGGTTGGCAAAGAGTGAAGATTTGTATAAGTCGAATTCGGATTGGTGGATAAGTCGCGTGATAGAAAAGCCCGACGTTAAGGTCATAACTATTGCTAAAATTCAATATTACTGAGATGAGAAAAATGAGTTTATTTGTGTTACGATAAGCGATTTTGAATTTTGTCATCAAACATCTTAAAACCGTTTATTCCAACTGTTTTTTTCTATGCCCGACCTAGAAGGCCTACATGTCGACATACAGTAAAGACTGACGATAGATAATTTGACGAATTGATACCATTTTTTCTTCTTTTGATTGTTCCGAATTCATTTCTTCAGTGAGCCAGACACTTGAAGTGATAACTTTGAAGCACTTCAGTTTTAATGATTAGAAATGATTAACACCTTTTGATTTTTATGGGAATAAATCTTATTTTGTTGACTACTTTCCCCCGTTTTATGTTTACTATTTTAATCGCCTTTAATGGTACTATCTTAATATCGAACTGTTTATACTACTATTTCTAAGGTGATTGTAAAGATCACAATTGATTGATCACTGGGTGGCGATCAATGTCATGCGTGTTTAGTCCTTATTAATGCAGATCGCCACCCAGTGCTCAATCAGTTATGATTACATCTCAGTCCTACAGGAGGTCAGTCGTGATAACGTCTTTAACTGTGAAGCTGGGTGACACGAGATCGAGTCCGCCAGGGAGCACCAGTTTCCTCAAGATTACAGGTACACCTTGCTGACGAGTGCCAAGTAGCACGAAACCCTGGTCCAGGGTATCCTATCGACCACCTCCAACCACCATCTGATTGTAAATATATTTACATTCAATAGAAGTAATTCTGTGTCGTTTTCTTTGTGCTGTTTTAAAAATAGACGGAATATACTGATTGAGAAAAGAGTGATCTCTTAAGGAACTAATCTTTCTTATTTTAACGATATTAACGATTAATTACCACAATTTGTCGGTGTGAAAACATCCATTTAATTAGACATTATTCAAGATACATTTAGATACTGAACATCGGAAGCTAATCAATGTGATGAAATCTAGCCTCCTGAATCGCGACCAATAACTCCAATCAGTTATTTCTTGGTCTATTTAACGTACGAATATGGTACTTTAATTAGCCTGAAATTGTTAACTAAAGTACTTAAATTATATAAGCTTTCTATTTGTTTAAATTCATCAGTAGGATTTAAGTTGAACACACTTTCTATACTGAGTTGTATTTGAATGGTTTAAATGAAAGAAAAAATTGTTGTATTCTGATCATCTTTGGTGATTAAACTTCCTATTCTAAACGATGCTGTGATCAGACATCTTTGTTTTGATTGTTTATCTTCATTTGATTTTTGGAAATAGTAGTGAAATGATTAATTTCTATTAAGTCATTGTAGAAGATGTTTTTCACGAGTTAGTCAATATTCTTGAGTTCACGAGTTCCCTCCTCTAGATGACAATCTCATCTCAACATAATTGGTTGATTTACAGTACCTTTCATAGATTGACTACGGTTACTAAATATACATCTACTGTGGCCATTATGACCTATAATTTTCTCTATTACATACAGTTTCACAGAAATATAATAATATAATTTACGTGAATTTATGGTAACATATAATCAAGAAAAATATTTGTGAAACTGTTAAAAATGTGATATCTCATTGGAACAGAAATCATTCATGTCAAAAGTCGACTATTGTAATTCAGTGAGATATAGTGATAAAAAGAGATGATCAGATAATGATTTTGTCCTAGTATATGATTGTTTATTTAATCTGGTTGGCGTTTTTTTTAGTAAGATTTTTTCTACGGGATGAGGTTGCCGATCTCGTTTACCCTAGCTTGGGACCGGAATTATCTCTAGAAAATCTACAGGCGGAGCTGAAACATGAAGAACTACTACAATCATCATCAAGAAGGTAAAAGTATTCATAAACTATTGTCTACGTTAAATACTCAATATCAGCATCAGCAACAAGCTAGCTTCCAGCTGAAGAGGAAATTAGGAAAAGACGATGGAAAATGCTAGGACATACATTACGGAAATCACCAAACTGCACCACGAGACAAGCCATAACTTGGAATATTGAATGGAAAAAGTGAAGAGGAAGGCCAAAGAACACACTATATCGTGAAATAGAAGCAGATATGAAAAGGATGAATAGGAACTGGAAGGAGCTGCAAAATATTGCCCAGGACAGTGTTGGATAGCGAGTGCTGGTGGGTGGCATATGCTTTTCCACGAGGAGTAACAGGAGTAAGTAAGTATATAATTGTTTACTACCTTCGAATGATCTACTGATTGTTTAGTAAGTTTTCAGCAATTCAATAACAATATTATGGTGAATAACTAGTACGACTATTGTAAAATTAAATTCTTTACGCCATGTTCTAATCAGTTATGATGGTAGAAATCCATTCCGGTTGTTTGAAATTCCATATCTTAATTACATCTAATTGAAGTCTTAGCTCAGTCAGACTGATAGTAGTTCGTAATAATTAAAACAAAACCCAATGTGTCATCAAATAAAAATAATTACAATTCACTGAAGAAATTTTCCTTTACAATGAAATCATTTACTTAAGCTGTACACTCGTATTTGTAGTTGTTTGGTAAATATATGCTCATAGAAAGGTAGAGAAGATCGCATGACAAAGGGATTCGAGACTCGAAATATCAAAGGATGTTGAGTTATAATCAGAACGTGAGAGTAGTGTAGGAGGATGAAAATAATTTACGGTTGAGAATTATAAAAGATAATTGTCCACTGAACAGATATGAAGAAAACTGAGTAGAATTAAGGTCATAATGATAAGTGAATAATAACTAACCATGAAGGACTTTTGAAGGATAGTAATAACTGATTATGGTTTAGAATTACAGAACAGTAAGCTAGAAAGGGAAACAAGAGCAAAACATAGTGGAGAAGGGAGTGAGGGCTAAGGAACAATGACAGGTTGGATGTGTCGTTTGTGCACAGTGAATTTGTGCTTGAATTGGTGAATCGCTAATGCCTCAACGGTGCGTAAGTTTTTGATTCGGTCTCCCTTCGATGTAGTTTCTTTAATTGTGTAGATTATTTTGAAGGAAGATTCATTTGGAGCGACGTGTTCAGAGATTATTAGATGTATCTGTATTGAACTGGTGACTGTTTTTCCTTCTCCTTTAATAGTTAGCGTCAAGTGGTTTTGTGCGGCCACTGTGACCTGCCCCTCAGGAGCAAGTAAATGTATTGACACATCCGTGAATGGTAGGACAAGAGTTCGGCATCCATGTCTCCTTTAAATTCCATATTCGTAACAGGTTTTCCTTTAAACTGTGAGTGCTTTTTCAAGATGTTGTCATTGTGTTAAATTTCTATCGTAGAATCTCACTGGACAACCATTTCTGATGCTTCTCTGTTGAATATGAATTAGTTCATCACCTATTGTGTCACTATATCATATTCGCCTATTCCTTAAGAACAGTTGACTAGTCAATATGTAAGATGGATCCTTACAGAGATCTATACATAAAAACGTCGACCTGGAATGGTCAGTTTACGAATTTCCATACCTGGGTCTATTCGAGTTTAAAGCGAAACTTAATTCACTCTCTATCCTCTAGGATCATTTAGTCCAAGTTTTTTAAGTGGCTGTTTCACCATACGGCAGCAAATTCGTCTTATGCAATTTCAGAACCGCACAATACCAAATCATTTTAAACTAAGTTAGTATAGTAAATTATAACGAATAAATAAATGAGGGGTTAGTCTCATGCCCAGGTGCTTTTCCACAATTCATTAGTTAAGTTACATTACTTAGACCTTAGTAAGTGGTAATGCTATTAAATAACATACATTTATTCAAGCAACATGAATTCTAAGATTAAATGTCAAGTTGGAACAAACAAAGAGAACTGTTCATAATACGAATTTTGCTCTTCCCAACTACGATTTTGGGTTCTGACCAGAATGAAATTTTGAAATATAAGAGTACTTTACAAGTAAATGATCCAGTTAGTTAACTGACGAACTCTGCTGTTTAATGGTATGCAGACTAAGTTATCAACTGGAAAAGTGGAATGTTCCATCATTCAACGGGAAAAGATTTAGATGCCGTAAGATGGTACTATTAATTCAATGATAATTTCTTCAGTGATATAAAGTAATTTGAGTAATTTGAGTACAACCAGTGTCATGAGTGGATGTTAGTTGTGCTTACTTTATAATGAGAAGGGGAAGTGATCTATAACGCCTAAACATATGGATCTATATTATTTATGTACCATTCAGATGTATCTAGACATGGGTAGTTGTTGGTATTCACGATGATTGCGTACAAAAAACACATGCTACCAACGAATCTGAAATTCTCAATCCCAATTTGAATAAAGCTATTATGAGGCTGATGGTTTTAGATCATGTACGTTCTTTAATCAATATATATAATTCAACTAGAGTTTACCTTTTGGGCTAGTGGGGACTAATTTCGTACCAAGTTTGATAAATAATGCGACTGACCAGAAATAACCATCTCTTGGAAAATGCTGCTGAAAACAATGGAATGTGATAAACGAAATCACAATAAGAATAGCCTGAAAAATTTAAATAAATGGCCAGTGTGATACTGTAGTTATCTACGTCTAATCAAAATTTACTGATGTAACAGCAGTTTTAATTTTCAAAACCACCATGACGAACGTTCATGTGACAATTTGAGGATTCAAACACGATGCTTTCTAGCCAGCTTACTAGTATAGATTCATGCAAGTTAAATTTATAATCTTGTAGCTAAATCGAATCAACAACAAATAGCTCGTACAGCGGACTGTAATGTAAACTCGTTTAATCCTGTTATTCTGAAACGACGATGAACATTTGCAACTCCGGTGGATGGTTCTTGTTTGTTCGTATTCTTTGAGCCAGGTGATTTCATTGAGAAGCTTTCTTTGTGGTTCTGGATTAAGCTGTCAGAACTTACGTTTTGTAGAAGAAGGGAGGACCTATATGATGTTGTCCAGAACGACAGTTTCTTAAATAAACCACATATCTCGACGAACACAATAACACTAATATTTAATTATTCATCTTGGCATAAATGAATGTACTGCAATAACATTTGAGGGCAAACAAAATCACATTGATTCTTAATCTATAGTGAATTCATATAGATTTGAACTCAGTCTCTCCAATGAAAAGCCTTGACTATGAATTAATTTCACAAATCAAAAGGAGAGAAAGTTCCCTTGTTTTAACTTAATGTCTCAAACAGAAATTCGTTATGAGAATAGGTATATTTTCAGAATGGGTTTTGTGGCGATTTTTAGAAATTTCACTGGTTGAAATCCTGAGTCAATTGAAGCTAGACCACCATGGAAAACCTGGAAGCACTGGATGGTCGTTTCGTCCTGGTATGGGACTACCCAGTAATGCGCATTCACGATCCCGCACCTCGCGAGATTCGAACCCAGGACCTACTGTTTTAATTATTACTACAAAGGATTGATGGGAATGAATGCTTACTATTGAGAAGTTCCATACTGACATAAAACATTTGCTTATTGCTTTCAGGTTCTTAAAGGTCGTTGAACTTAATTCATTTCATAATGTGATCTGTTTTAACTAGTCAATATTAAATAAACTTACTTTTACTCTTGTATTGCACCTCAGTAATTCAGATTGCGATAACCATCTTTCCAAACTTGAATTATTTGTTCTATCAATGGAATACTGATTTTGTGATGAAAAGTCCTTCAACATACTGTCATCTTGATCATATTGATCTAAACTAAGTAAATCATCTATTGAACTGGTTACAGGAATGGAATTCATTTCATCACCATATGACATTGGAGATGATGTATTCAAATGAGAAAAACTGCTGGATTGACCTGTGAGACTACTCGGTGAAACTGGAATTTCCTCATTTGTTGCATTAATTTCATTTTTATGGTGATTATTTTGATGTTGGTGTTGGCAGTGATTACTTGTAGCTTCATTCTTGATCGGATTGTGTAACGCATTATCACTATCACCATGACTTTTAATTTCAGTACAACTATCAATACTACTAATATTACTGTTAGTAGTGACAGCACTAATACTAAATTTAGTCGTGATAGTTTCATTATCAAGTTGCCTTTCAGTGTTTTGACACTCAGTTCTTTCTTCATTCTGTGATACATTTATTTCATCAGACTTTTTCTTAATATCAGCTATAAACGTTTTGAGAGAAAAGAGAACCAGTCAACAAGGTAATTTGTTAGCTAATCTATAGATTAAATTTTCTATGTTTAAAAATTAGTAAACCACTGTCTGAAGTAGCTTGTTTGATACGCCCATTTTGTGATCAATTCTGTTAGCGATCATTCTCTTCCAGATACTTTTTCAGAGGTCTAAAGAAAGGTTCATGAGATTTAGTTGGTAGAAATGTCACATTCAGCAAACGTTGTATTGAAATATTGTTCATTTTAATGATACACTAATACTTTTGTCTCACTGGACTAGATACTTGAAGGTATCAGAAAGAGAATGATCTCTTTAGATCGTTTGTTTCATTTTCAATGTGCTATTCGATTCAGTATAACACTGATTTACTTCATTTAAATATTTATTCAAGATATGATATTCTTGTATTAAATCAACATGAACTATGTTTAGCAATAACATGAAGCGTGCGATTTCTCTACAACTTCATAAAGATGTCGTATTACAGATTAATAATCAAATGTATGTGAAAATCAATGGATAAATGAGTGTATTTTTTCACTAGATTCGTCGTGTTTTTGATGTTCATAAGTCTTCACTTATGCCAGTCTTCCATGTTCTTCACTCACATCATGTCAATTGTAATGGCTTCTCGTTTCAAGTATCAGTGATAAAATGACGGGTACATAACATCAAGCATCTCAAAGTGATTCGCAGAAAACCTTGATATTAAATTTTTGTCCGACTGATAACCATTACCGTAGTACATCTTAAACCTATAGGAAACAAATGCTGGATACGAGATTAAAGTCACAATAAGCTAAAGCAACAATCAGAAATATTACCATCAAGGAATCCTAACGACTAGTGATGCTTTAGATTACTTGCATCATTCATTGGTGCAAAGTTGAATATTTCTGGATATAAACTGAATTTTACAATGTAGTAAGATTCGCATCTTTAAGTATAATTTTCTGCATAAAAATTAATCTAGTCACTAATGCTTTTGTCAATGGATGAAAATAACCAGAATCTTAGAATACATTAGTTTCCGTAGTTTCATTTACAGGAAAATAAACGAAATCCATCTCTACAACATTTCTCTCTACTGCTTACTGCTGACCAGAACATTAAATTACTTTAGGTTAGAGGTTACATAATCGAAAAGCTCGATAAAATTTGGTCAAACCTAAGAACTAGACCATGTTAATTTAACTCGATGCCATATACAGATAGTAATCTCTCAATACTTTACTAGCGATTATTTTAGATCCTTGTGTACAATATTAATAACTGATTAGTCAATAAAGAATTAATGTGGGATATAATGAGAATAACCAAATAAAATGGACAAGATCATGGTATGAGAGAATTACGATAAGTTAATTACTCAACTAGCCCTCGTTACGTTTTATATACCTCTGTTAGGAGAAATCTGACGACTTACGAAATCCGTACAAGTTTCTAGTACTTTTTTCACTCTCTGTAGACACAACTCATTACTCAGTCTTATCTTCTCAATCTATTTAGGTTGTGTTATGAGATAGTTATAAAAAATTTCAAATTTTTTTAGAAACCCCAAGATTTTGAAGATCGCTTTTTTAGCTGAAACTCCTTATTTCATTCAGAGTTCAATTGGTGAAGATTATGAGCGTCTAGAAATCTACTTAGAAGTCAACACATTCCAAAAACTTTTTATGGTAAATATATCATATGAGTTAAACGTTTGAAGTTTCTATAGTAGTTGAACCATAAAGATGATTTATTTTAACCAACTTATTATCATAAATTAAAAGAAAATTGAGACGGCTTTTCTGACGATTGTAATAATTTAATAATTGAATTCATGAGTCAATTGAAGTTAGATCACCATGAAAAACCTGCAAGCACTGGACGGCCGTTTCATTCTAGTATGGAACTCCTCAGCATTGCGCATGCACGACCTCGCCCTCCGCAAGATACGAACCCAGGACCTATCAGTCTCGCGGGGTGGGATCGTGGATGCTCACTATTGAGGAGTCCCATACTAGAATATAACAGTGATCCAGTGCTTCCAGGTTTTCCATGATGGTCTAACTTTGATTGACTCATGAATTCAATTATTAAGGGGATTCTATTTTATTAATAGATAACATAAATATATCAATATAATTTTACTAGATGTAAAGAGATTCACATATATATGGAGGCAGGAATTGATATTCCATTAACTTACATATATTACTTAATGTCCCGACCACTTTATCGAAATACATTGTCAATTTTTTATTGGTAACATTAATTTTTTTTGATTTTGATATCTAATACAAAAAAATGTACAAATAGAAAAAAGAAAGAAAAATAACAATCGTGAAATGACAATGAATGTTGATAGATGCACACTACTTGTTTGGGGTCCACATGACGATCCTAATATCAATGGTTGGAGACTCTGAGTGACATGGCCTAAAATAAATCACAATGGCTTAGGTGTATACGCTCTCTGTCTTCTCTTAAACTATGAGATTAAAATTGCTTTATATCTTTCTGCACTATCTCCTTATATGCAATCTTTCTTTTATATATATTACTACCATTGAATGAACTATTTCTATCAGTTCGGTGTTCATCTTGTTGTGTTAATGCGGTATGGCAACTTGGACCGATGCACTTATGTGCCTGGTCTTACATTGTAGCTGACTGACTGAATGCAAAGTAATGAATTAGGAAAAGACAAAAACTTATAACATACACAATCATGAATATTGTAAAATACTGGTTTAATACAAAATAAAACTAGAGCTTTGGACAAATATATACCAATTGAAGATGTAATGACTCCTATTTATACTATGAGTGGAAAAAATGAACAAAACAGAAAGTAATAAATAAGTATACTACACCAAGATTGAGATTGATAGTTTCAACATAAATTAAACATTAGATAAAGACTTAATAATAAATGTATTTTTTGTTATATCCCAAAAAGTAGAGAAATTGTATCTCTAACGATGTTTTGTAACTTTATGTAAGCCACTTCTTCAGAGTAAATAAATAACCAAACATTAAATTAATACAAGTTTAAATAGTACAGAGGAAATAATGCAAAATATTTTTTTAATAAACTCAAAGCCACAATAGGTCTGAATATTGTCAATGTCAAGTAATATTTGGTCAAGATGAATTTGTATGATAGGCTAAAACTGGCTTATCTAGATCATGAATCACCATACGTGTTGTTAGACCGTTTACCTGAAAAAATAATCACAGAATCGACAATTAACAACGAGGATTCTGAGCGAGTGACTAAAAATGGTTAAATGGAGCACCATCAGTTACTCTATTCGGGATATTAACAGTTACTAAAATAGTAGTAATAGTCTTAAGTAATATGCTATCCTTCCTTGTCTAGATCTTTTACTTCTAATGTACAAGAATTATATTCATTTTTTATGCTGAGTATATAAACTATTTATTCCTAAACAACCCTTCGAGTAATGTGAATCGAAAACATATCAGCAAAGGTAAATCATAAAGGAATGATGAATCTTCGACTGAGGTGAGTGGTTTTAGTGGGCTTCGCCTGTGGAATTATTCGTTTTTATAGATTTTTGAGCTAATAGGAGAAGACAATGAGAAAATTGGATAGAAGTATAAGACAAAATCTCTTTGAACACATACTAGAAACCCAAACAATGAACTCTCACAATAGCAACGGTTTCCGAAAACAGTCCAGGCGAGTTTCACTAGTTTACTAAATGATCTATTATGGTTACAGTACTTTATAACGTGCGGCATCTTATTCTCATCTAAACTAGTCATATATATATATATATATATATATATATATATATATATATATATATATATAATCATTAGAACCACCCCCAAACTCATTTATGATATAAGATACATTTAATAGTTTGATCTATCAAGAGAACGAGGGGTACCTACTCACACGAAATTGGTCTAAACAATAACATTATTCCTAAATCTCTGATTATTAAACCACTAGAACGTTCATGACGATCTATTCATATTGCTCGATGTGCATCATGAATGTTTTTGCAAGAACGTATCCACGAGTGTACTTTCACATCAGAAAAATATCGGGAATGCATTAAAAATTTAAATGAGCTGATCGGAGTTTCAATTCTCATTCACTTATATACTTCCATTTTCGCCGTATTCAACGAAAAACAGACTCATTATCTAAATGTATCAAAATTCAGGCAAATCAAGAAATTTGAAGGGATTAAAAGAATTACAAGAAAAGAAAAGATCACTCACAAAAACTACTTTTAATGATTGACAGGTAGTTCATAATCTCTCAAAGAGAACTCTTAGTATCCATAAAGTCACTCTACTAGAAACAGCACTTAAATTTACATAGAAAACCTTTCAGTACTCTAGAAATCGTCACAATTCTAGAAGTCGTACTCGAAGGCTTCCGGACAAGCAATTGCATATCTTACATTAAAAAACTTCTGATATATTGACCAAACAAATATTCCTTCCACCGTATGTTTCCAAAGAAGAATGGAAAACTTTGCTCTCACAGCAGAATGATAGAACGATTGTCATTACCAAGGCTGACAAAGGCAATACAATAGGGGTCATGAACAAAAGCGACTACGAAAAAAAGCTCATAACTATCTATCGACAGGACTATAGTTAAAGATAGACTCAAAAAATGTTCAAATGACTAAAAATAAAGTCAAATCAGAGACAAGTGAACTTCTGAAAGAACTAAAGCCATTTATTGACGTTTCCCTATGGTTTACTTTATACCCTAAATCTAACACCATATCGCTCTTCTATGGGCTACCAAAAATTCACAAGCCTTATGTTCCTTTAAGATCCATAGTGGACTTCACAAATACTCATACATATGCTTTATTTAAATATCTAAACAGCATTCAGAAGCCACTTCAATACAAACTAATCAATGTTGTAAAGGATTCATACGAATTGAAATCAAGAATCTTGGGATTATCAACAAATACGAAACATTGGTAAGCTTTGATATTGCATCTTTCTACACTGGTATTCGAATTGGTAGATATTTAGACTTCGTCAGTGGTTTACTAGAGAATGATCATATTCTGTCTAACAGATGCCCATTAAACATTAGTTTCATCATGAAATCCCTCAAACTGTGCTTAAATTCAACACTTTTCACATTCAAGGGGACTTTATATAAGCAAACGAATGAAGTAGCCATGGAATCACCAGTATCTCCGATTGTTGCAAATTTATTTATATTTCACATTGAGACGTTTATTTTTCCCATCACCATCAAACTACGCATCTGGCTCAGATGCATAGATGATACATTCCTCACTATTTAAAAAGACTTCTTAGAAATTTCTCCAAACACATAAACACTCTCTCAGAACACATTAAATTCGCTTTCGAAAAGGAAGATGAACATAATGAACTACCATCCTTAGTATGTTTAGTTAAAAGGAATTTCAATGAAAGTTTAGATCTAGTCATATACCAAAAACCAACGCATTCAAATCGACATACTGATTTTAACTCTGTACGTCCTTTTAGTGAAGAACTTTTTTTACTTACTTACGCCTGTTACTCCTAATGGAGTATAGGCCGCCGACCATCATTCTCCAACCCACTCTGTCCTGGGCCTTCTTTTCTAGTTCCATCCAATTCTTTTTCATTTTTCTCATGTCTATCTAAATTTCTCGGGGTAATGTGTTCTTTGGTATTCCTCTTTTCTTTTGGCCTTAAGGATTTCATGTGAGGGCTTGTCTTGTGACGCAGTTGGGTGCTTTCATCAATGTGTGTCCTATCCACTTCCACCGCTTCTTCCTGGTTTCTTCCTCCGCTGAAATCTGGTTTGTTCTTTCCCACAGTTGGTTGTTGCTAGTAGTGTCCAGCCAGGGGATCTGAAGTATTTTGTGTTAACAACTATTAATAAACACCTGTATCTTCTGGATGATGGCTTTCGTAGTTCTCCAGGTTTCTGCCCCATACAGTAGAACTGTCTTGACATTTGTATTGAAAATCCTGACCTTGGTGTTGGTTGACAGTTGCTTTGAGTTCTATATGTTCTTCAATTGTAGATATGCTGCTCTTGTTTTGCCGATCCGCACTTTCACATCTGCATCAGATCCACCCTGTTCATCAAAGATGCTGCCCAAATATGTAAAGGTTTTAACATCTTCCAAATCTTCTCGGTCAATTGTGACTGGATTGTTGCATGCTGTGTTGCATCGGAGAATCTTGCTTTTTCCTTTGTGTATGTTGAAACCTACTGCTGCTGAGGCTGCTGCTACACTGGTCGTCTTCTCCTGCATTTGTTATTGCGTTTGGGATAGAAGGGCCAGATCATCTGCGAAGTCAAGATCGTCTAACTGCATCCTAGATGTCCACTGTATCCCGTGATTCCCTTCAGATGTTGATGTCTTCATGATCCAGTCGATCACCAGGAGAAAGACAAAGGGTGAGAGTAAGCAACCTGATAAACTTTTTCTAGCCCTAAATTTTTTTTGTTTGAGAAGAGCAACCAAAATCACTACCTCAGAAAAAGAGAATATAATAAACATTCTACGTTTAAATAAATTTTCTAAAAATATAATTTTAAACATATTAAAACAAAACTATCCTTCTGTAAATAACAATCCTTACGGAATTCCATGCATTGATACCGCAGTTTTACCTTACCGCCAAGGTAGGACAGAAGAATGACAACGGATATTGCAAACTTATAAAATTAAAGACAACTAACACTCTAAGAAACGCTTTAGAATTAAAGATAAAATTCTCTTCACTTCTACTCAAAATTGTGTCTACAGATTAGGTTGTGTCAACTGCGATGAGTTCTGTATTGGAGAGTCTTCCTGTTAGATCTTAACGAGTGCCAAGGAACACTTAAGTTACAAAACAAACCTAATAGTCATGTAGAATTGGCAGTACATGCTGATTTCAAGAATCACCAAATTGATGTTATATATATATATATATATATATATATATATATATATATATATATATATATATATATATAATTCAGAAAGGCTTTTCCAACTATAAAGACAGGCGAGTGGCCGAAGCGTTTCACATAATGCTAAATCCCTTTGCTCTAAATAGGAAAGAAGGTTTGAATATTCATCTAACCTGGACTGCTTATCCCAACAACAACATTTCACCTAGCTTATTCTATTCAATACACGCCAACAAATTCAGGTTAAGAAAAACAGTGTGGTATCAACCTCTGCATCAGTAGGCCTCAACATACACAACGAAAATATAAAAATCTTCAAATACAACACGGAGAACACCAACCTAATCACACTTGATGGAGAAACTCTGGAACAGGTGGGAAGTTACACGTACCTGGCTCATCAGCATCATCGACGGAGGTGGAGGATCTGATGCAGAAGTGGAGGCAAGGAATGGTAATTCAAGAACAACATTACTACAGTTGACGAACATACGGAACTCAAAATACCTGTCAACCAATATCAAAGTCAGAATCTTCAAAACGAACTTCTAGACAGTTCTGTTGTACAGAGCTGAAACATCGACAACTACTACAACCATCGTCAGAATAATGCAGGTATTCATAAACAATTATCTACATGAGATACTGAATGTCAGTTAGCTGGATACCATCAGCAACAACCTACTGTGGGAGAGAGCAAACCTATTTCTAGGTGAAGAGGAAATCGGAAAAATTCACTGGATGTGGATAGGACACACTTTGAGGAAATTATCAGACTGCATCACGAGGCAAGCGCTAACTTGAAATCTTGAGGGCAGACGGAAGAGAAAATGACCATGGAACACATTGCGCTAGGAATTGGAAGCAGACATGAAAACGATGAGTAGCAACTAGAAACAATTGGAAAGGTGACCCCAGTAAAAAGTTGACTGAAGAATCCTAATCGGCAGCCTATGCTACTCTATGTGGGGTAACAGGAGTAAGTAAGCAATTAAGTAGTAGTTGTTTTAATATTAGTGGTCATTGTGATAACTAACATTTTTATTTCAACACTGATTACTATCGCTCATAATCCTAGTTATATTATTAGTTATCACGAGTACTATACATATAAAATATGGAATATATGCATACCGCCGAATTGATTTTAGCTTTAATCAATCGATCCGAAGAAGTTGAATTATTACAGTCAATATCATCAATATTCCGATCTTGAATTTGTTCTTTGAACATGTTTCTAAAATTAAACGATAATAAGCCATGTTTAGCGTGTAATACTGATGATCATCGAGTAAATGAGTCGGTGACAGTTTCTGTAATAAAGGGAAATTAATTGATTGGTAATTAAAAACCAGATGTCTCATTATGGCAATTCTAAGCTATTCACATTCTTAGCCTCCCATAAACTAATTTATATCCCACAGTAAATATGCAACTTAAACACCAGTAAATTAGAAATGTAATGTGTTCATTTTGAAGCCTAATGATTCTAGGTTCTTATGCCAGGTAGGACTTTAGTGCTCATTTCCAGAGTTCTCAGCTGAAACGTAAGTCTATTTTGATGACCTTTATACTTTAGAGGCACCTCAACTGATGTCAATCTGTTTGGGCATAATTAAATGAAACCATCACTTACTATGGCGTGACGACTGGTTGATCTAAAGCTGTTGATATTATTTTGATACTCATTTCTACTTGAACTAGGCACTGATAATGTTCAATGAATGTTTAGCAATTACACTATCAGGTTTGGAGGGTATACTTGCAAATTACTATCAGTGACGATATTAACTTTGAACATGTCAAATTTTGGTGCGATAAAAGGGATAAACAATTAAAAGTTGAGATTAATTGAAGGTCTGTTAATGTTGAACAAAATAATAATATCTGTAATATGCCAAATACAAATACTTTGCACCTAAAACAGAATTCCATGAACAAATCATACGCACAAGATGCACATACACCCACAAGAGACTGATCAATCGCAGTCCTGAATAACAATGGGAAGATACAAGTAAAACAACACCAGGTGAATTTAAACTTCACCCTATTGCACAAACAGGTGGCTATCAGGACTCAGTAGCTAAGTGGATAACGCGATGGCGTTTGAAGTGAATGGTACTGGGTTCGAGCCCCAGAGTAAACCTCAACTCTGAGATACAGGTACGTCTAACTGAAGGGTCCCAAATAGGACGAAACGCGCATCCTACATACCACTGCTCACCACCATCCATCTACTCTTGTAATGCTTGTCACTCGAAGCAATATCGAGGCAATGCACACAGCATGCACATATGCCAATAACACACTGATCAATTGCAGTCCTAAGTAACAATGGGAATATACAACTAAAAAACACCAAGTGAATAAAAAAATAACATAAATATCAGGAGGCGGGTGGACAGTGGTGAAAATACAGGCCTTATAATCAGACTTTACACCTCCAAGTTAACATACATTAGAACTGTCTGAATAAAATTGAATGGATTTATAGTATTATAACCAATCTTAGGCTAAGTCGCTCCTTTTATTTCTAATATCTAAATAAAGTACGGAACTCCCTAAACAGCTGAGTTTGTTAGCTAATCACCTTATGAAATTTTACGATGTCTTTGATCCGTCTTGTGGTAAGCCTTTTACATAACATACTTCTACTGTATAATACAATACCCATCAGATTATATCAGGGATCAACATGAATACTAAATCACTTAGTATTAATAACTAACTCAATTATCATTTGAGTTATTGAAACCGTCTTGATAAAATTAATTGTGGAATTTACACAACATTACAAGGAATTAACTTAGAAAGTCTATTTGGCCAACAGTGTCTAAGCCATTTCCTTCAAGGTGATATCTATTAGTCATATGACACTACATCTATTAAAAAATTGAATGGTTACTTTGTCTTAATTATATTTCTATGCATGTGAGTGACTGAGTGTGTAAACCAAAGAGAGAGAGAGAGAGATGGTAATCATATGTAGGTAAACTACAATACAAAAGAAGAATCAATTAATTATGCAACGGTTATTAAGGCAACTATGAATGAATGTTTGAACAGGTTTTTTTTGAAAAGTAAATATTCAATATTGATTAAAGTAATTTAAATACATATATATATATTGATGGATATAACTTAGTAACTACAGTCAACGATTATAACAAAATAATCAATATCATATTTGAACATTAAAATGTTTTAGATTCAATTTTGTAAGCAATGATGGATAGTGGCTAGCAGTGGAATCCAGTTTGACGTGCGTTTCGTCCTATTTGAGTGGATAACGCGATGGCGTTTCAAGCGAATGGTACTGGGTTCGAGTCCCACAGTGAACATCAACTCTCTCAGATGCAGGTACATCCAACTGACGAGTCCCAAATAGGACGAAACGCGCGTCAAACTGGATTCCACTGCTAGCCACTATCCATCATTGCTTACAAATAGCTTGTGAATTCAGGCAATATCGAGGCATACGCACAGTATGCACATATACCAATAACAGACTAATCAATTGCAGTGTTAAACCTCAATGGGAAGATACAAGCCAAACATTATCGAGTGTTTTAGATTCAGTTTTGAAAATAAAGGTTTTAAATGATAAAATTGAAGTTCCATTGAAATATCTTATGACTAACAATAGTTTACCACAAAAAACATTTTTTTCTTTTAAAATGATCACTGGGTAAATTTTGAAAATTATGCACAGAACATACTTTTATTGAACAGAAGTAAATATGTTAGTGAAGTTGTTTTGAAGTATAACAAACATTAAGGAGAAATTGTTTTTTGTACATCATAGATCAGCTTCAATATGACAACGGTTATTAATCAAGTAATATTGGACAGTATTTCGTTTTAGTTTATGACTCCTTTGCATTAAGTAACCAAGATATCATCAGGGTTAAGCTCAAGACCATCAGGGTTAGCGGTAAGCTTGTAATCTAATGATTAAAACTTCTAACTGATCATATGTATTTTCATAGGTGATCGTCGCCTCTTTATGTTGAGCACTCATTGCTAAACCAGTAAGTTCTGATTCTGATAATTGATTATGTCTCGCGTCCCCACTGTTGAGAGGTTCCATATTGGGACGAAACAGATATCTAATGTTTCATATTTTCTGGTGATAGATTCAGTCAATAATATACATTAGTGTGACTCACATTATGAAATTTTACTCCCTAGAGTAAAGACATTTCGTGATCTGTTGTTACACCTATGTATTTTTGCTGAATCCTCATTAAGATCAAGCAAAAACGAAGCACAAAATTATGTAGTACATCAGAGGAATAGAATACTAGTTTTTAGCTTCTGTTCCAGTAAAGTCTTCAAATTATATGGAACATGTGCAATATTTCAGTTAGTCGGTCAAACATATCGATGCAACTGAGTTTATTTTGATATATTACACTATCATAGCTTCTAGCTGTGTATATATGTGAGCATGTTTTAAAAGTACCATGGTAGATGACAGCTATATCACCTGAGAATAATTTTTCTGTAAAGTCTCTCCAGTCATCACTTCGCGTCTTGAAACATAAACAGAAAAACTAGTCAGCTTCAGTGCAATGACGTAAGAATTTATGATTACATTGCTGCTGAATGTATTTCTGTTCCAAAAATGTTTACATGTATTTACGTTTAAATGGCTGAATTATTATTAATATTATTGATGGTTTTATTTGGTACAAAGTATTTTAACAAGTTTCCTTTTCTTATTGCTTGATCTATCCTGACAATAAGCATTGAAATCTTGTAGTGATATTAGTCAGTCGTCTTGTAAATTATTTTAACCAGGATTCTTGATTTGTGATTAAACCACAAATACGTTACATGTTTGGACTTAGTAAGAACTGAAGACGTTGCCCATTATTGATCAGCAGTTAGAGTTCAGTATTTCAAGAATCGACATCTAAATAATGTTCATTCCTTCCAATGCATATTGCCAGACACCATGATATGTCTGATTGTAATTTCTTGTGCCTTGTGAAGTGATAGGCTCAATGGGTTATGTGATTAATCGACATGATAATATGTTAAAACAAACAAAAAGGGAGACTGGTTCAAATATCTAGATGGCAGAAACCGGTAGCCCAGATATTCAAGCAGGCCACGTACATGAATTTCCTCCAAGTTATTATTTGGATTGATTGGTGCACCTAACTAACATTCCATAGACGCTAGACATTATATATATATTCACAATATACGTTTTTATCTGTACAGATATGTAAATAGGTAGGAAGTTCATACATTACGAATGAAATGAGAGAGTATTAGACAGTTGTTTCTAATACTATCTGTTGTTTAGTGTACAACAAAACAATCTTTTATGAAATCCTATTTACTATAAAAACTATTACTTAATTCTGTGTAAACTAACAGCTTCATATAAGTTTATTATTATGCCTGGAAGATTTGAAAGTTCTCAATTGCGAGTCTTGTTTCTTGTTCCATTGTTTTTCACAAAATTATGCTTTATCATCGTAGTAACTCTTATTTAAATTGTAGCATTTTCCAGAACAATGCAATGGATCAGACTATCATATGTTCATATAAGTCAATTAAAGGTAGTTGTAAAGGCAATTGTGAATTACATTTTTGATTACTTCCTCCAGATTCAGTTTCTTAGTAACTGTATGCAAAAAATTAAATCCATCAAGATAAGTTGTGGTGCTTGTATGAACTAATGATTCCTTTATACTTGATGTCTGTCTGATTTTGAATTCCAAATACAATACGTTTGTTCATGCTCACCAAGTTCTTCTCGGTTTAAATTGCGTTATTCCTGGGATTCCTAGTCTGTACAATAGTTCAAATACTTCTAATCATCACGTAATTATAGTTTAATTTCTTAATACATTGTTGTATCTATAAGAACTTTCTGATCAGAAAGTTGTTATTAACCTGCGAACCAGCTATTAATTATGCGTTGTAACTATACCGTTTTTTAACAGCTGAATTGACGAGTCGATCTAAGCTAGATAACCATCAATAACTTGGAAGCACTGGACGGCCGTTTCATTCTAGTATGAGACTCATCAGCAGTGCGCACCTGCGACTTGCACCCAAGACCTTCGGTCTCGAGCGCAAACGATTAACAGCTAGATCACTGAGCTGGCATCTAACAGTGTTGACGTCTAACTTCAACTGACCCATGATATTGAGCAACCCTTCATCCAATATCTAAGACGAATAACTGTCTCACACCCGACACAGACTGCACTCCACTGGTCACGGCTTCTCTTTCAAACTCCAGGAAGTTCATCTCAAAACTAGTCATTAGTGAGCACATGATTATAATCAGTATGACGATTCATGGAGATCGTAGAATTTTCATAGTTGAATTCGCGAGTCGACCTGAGGTAAACCACTATTAAGAACACGGAAGCACTGTGCCGATTCTAATGTCTAATGTTGAACTGTAATATCTATGCCTATTTCAGACATGTTATGGATTGTTTCAGTTACTTGTCTAACTACAGTGATTAGTAATTTTCTGATTGCAAATAAACTACTACTGCTGATGTTGGTCTCATCTTTTTTGTGCTAATGTATATATGATTACTAGTGAGAACCAAGTGCTAAATCTTTCTTTCAAAAAACATGAATAAACTTAAGTGAATATTACATTTGTTCGAAAATTCTTTAAGTTTATCACTTTGTACTCCCCTTTAATAATCAGTAAGCTCACTTTACAGAGTTTTCACCTAGTAATTTCACTTTGAGTATTTGTCAATTAAGATAATGAAGAAGATCTGTGACTACATAAATACTTTTCCATTGATAGGGATTTTAGAAACAGGAAGTTCTACAAATTCTAGTTTTACTAATATAAGTTAGAAACAAACCTCCTATCATAAAATGTCTGTCGAAATTTGTGCAAATTTTTCACATTTTCGAGTTCAGTCCCCAAAACCTCGATTCATTCAGTATTATAAGTGTCTAGGAAAATATTTACTGATGGGGATTTGGTTAAGGTATTCAGTAATACTTGGATGTCAGTTATTGCTATCGGAGGTTAGGGACCTAGAAAAATTCAGGATAACTAGGAAAAAGTATGTGCACGAAAATTATTAGTCATTGTGTTTTAACAAAAGCCTATAGATTACAATTTGATGAAAATTGAAGTTCAAACATAAGCTGGTTCATCACCAATTAATTAGTCTAAGTCTGACTACATAGCTCTGTTCGTTAGTAAAATGCTTCATAGACTGATCATGAGTTTGGGTTTAGCCTACATTGGCTTTCTTTAAATTCGCTCCTGTACCAACAAACATGTAATAAGGCCCATTAAATACACAAAAATAACACACAATTACGGAATCCAATAACATAACCCACATGTAAATGATCGATTTAAAGGATTAAAAAAGAGAGAAAGAGAATAGAAAAAATGTAGATATTTAAGAATTGAACACAGATAAAGCCATTGTACCTATACTGAGAAAACTCTAGATAGAGTATAAAAAGCAAATTAATTTTTTTGACTTCAAGTGAAAAGATTGTGAATTCATTTGGTGTTGTTTACCTGTATCTTCCCATCAGTCTCTTGTTGACATATGTGCATCCTCTGCGGACTGCCTCGATATTGTCTTAAGTCACAAGCTATATAAACAATCATGGATAGCAGTGAAATCCAGTTTGACGCACGTTTCGTCTTATTTGGGACTCGTCGGTTAGATGTACCTGCATTTCAGAGTTGATGTTCACATCTAGCCAACGAGTCGTATATAGGATGAAACGCGCCTCCTAAATTCCATTGCTAGCTACTATCCATGGTTGCTTATAAATAGATTGTGGCCAACAGTTTGATCTAAGACATGAGTTTCGTTCTATTCATATACTTAACTTGATCTGGAAGTTTTATCTATTCTTAGTAAGAGAAACAGGTTCGTAACATGGAATAATTTCAAAAAAATAGATTAAAAAAAAAACTGATCAATGCTCCTTAACTTTTTATAATTTATTTCCAAAGTACTAGTAAATGAACATTGTTCTAGAGTTCCATACAAGGAAGAAACAGCCTTCCAGTGCTTTTAGATTTTCAATAATGATCTAATTCAGATCTGTCTATGATTTCAATGGGATTTATTAATATAATTTAATAGTTTAAACTGGATGTGTCATTCAATTTCGTGGATGAGTTAAAGTTAAACATTAACACCATTGGATGACAGACGGCTTAGTGGTCTAGAGGTTAAGCGTTCGCATGCGAGACCGATAGGTGTTGGGTTCGAATCTCGCGAGGCGGGATCGTGGATGCAGCCTACTGAGGAGTCCCACAATAGGACAAAACGACCACCCAGTGCTTCCAGGTTTTCCATGGTTGTCCAGTTTCAATTCACTCATGATGTCAACCGTTAAAAGTTATTAACTAAGACATTTGTTAAGAAGTTGTTCTGTTACTTATTATCACAAAAAATTTATGTGAATATATTCAGTGTAAAGTAATTAACAATAAAGGATTTAGAATGGAAGACATGTATTTCGCAACTGTTGACACACCCTACTATATTGCAAAAAAAGTTTATATTAGTTTCCAGTTGTTGTATTTACTATTCAACAGACTAAAGAAGATATGGGCATCATGTCGAAAAATGGACCAAGTAGGATGATTAGTATTATGGTTAGTAAATTTAAAATCTGTTTTCAATACGGATTGTCATCAACTAGATGGTTATTTAAAGCCATAGTAGATATAAGTGGATGTTTACACTTCATTTGAGCATTTTCAACAACTTGCACTTTCAACTTGATACGTAGATTTGTCAGTCAGGTGAGTAAATCTATACATTTCTCTCTGATTTACAGAAGTCAGTTAGCTAATGACGGCTCAGTGGTCTAGTGGTTAGTGGTCTTGGGTTTGAATCTCGCAAGGGGCGAGGTCGTGGATGCGTACTGCTGGGGAGTCCTACAATAGGACGAAACGGCCGTCCAGTGCTTCCAGGTTTTCCATGGTGGTCTAGCTTCAACTAACTCATGATCTCAACCATTGAAACTACTATAATCTCCACAAAACCCATCTGATATTAATGACACTATAATTGATTTTAAGCTAAAATAAATGTACAAATGATTGGAAACTATGAATAGTTAGTGAATCAATATACTTTACTCTGTTTAATGAAAAATAGAAGTAGAGATAACGGGTTACTATACATCATCCATGCTTTAAATTTCAACTGTTCTCTTATATCGTAGTTCAATAACAACCTCTGTTTTTAAATGTTATTTTGCACCATTAGTTAATTTCAGAATGAATATATATTATGAAACATAAGTTATTGTTCATAAGTATCGATGCCATGGTTGGAATTGATAGTTTCAAAGCTTTGTTTTCCTATGAAACTTATCAGGATTGAACACCACCGACCCTACCGGAAATCTAATCCACGTTCTCCAAACTCTATAAAAAGCGTTTAACTTATAGTTGACTGAACTGCCATTTTTCTTCTTATGTTTCTAATATGTACTTTAACAACAATATTTACTTTTCAAAATAAATCACTAAAACAATGCCGTAAATATTGATGTTATTGTGCACAGATAAATAACGTTTCATAATGAATGTGTACATGTACTGATTTGTATTAGGTCTAAAACAGGAAACGGTGATACATAAATATAAAAGTTAATGTTTACATATATAAATGAAGTAATGATTGAAAAACAATAACTGATTCTTTAAAGTACTAGTAAATGATAAGTTTTGGATGTAATGTTTGCGTTGTCACACTGAAGTCTGGATAGTGTCCGGTTCTCCTGAAAACCAATGTAAAATTACCCTTACCCACAAGAGTATATTATATATGATTTGCAATATTCTGTTATATATAAGTAAAATGATATAGGAATCGAGTTTTATAAGTTTTTCAAATGCTAGAAAAATATACGATCTAAGTGGGTTGGAGAATACTGGTCGGCGGCCTATACTCCATTAAGAGTAACAGACGTAAGTAAGTCATCTTTGTAGACCAATGGTTACATTTTTTGACTATGATTCAATTATTTAAGATAGGTTTAATAAACACCTTATTATTATTATTAAATGACACCACTTTTATTAAGATATTAAGCTCAGTTATTTATAAATTACTTTGAAGCAAAAGACAATAACTATTGTTTACATAACATGATCATCATCTACTGTACAAAACAATTTAAATATTATTTTTATGTAGCATTTCAAAAGAATTCTAATTAACCATATTTAAACGGACACATTGAGTAATATCACAGTATCAGGATTTACCGCCTACATCAAAAACTATCTTCATGAAAATTTCATTTGATGTTGTTTTGCTGGTATCTTCCCATTGTTACTTAAGAGTGCAATTCATCAGTCTCATGTTGGCATATATACATCTTGTGCGGATCGACTCGATATGATCTTAACTCACAAGCTTTTTAAGCATAGATGGATGATGGTTAGTAGTGGAATCCAGGATGCGCGTTTCATCCTTTTTAGAACTCATCAGCTGAATGTACCTGAATCTCAGTGTTAATATCCACTCTGGGACTCGAAACCAATACCGTTTGCTTCAAACACCATCACATTATCCACTTAGCTATTAAGTGAATATCACCTTCTGGATGTAGGTATATCCGGCTGATGAGTCCCAAATAGGATAAAACTCTCATCAACATTGGATTCCATTACTAACTAAAAGTAAGTTTATTACCTTATTACATTCATTTCAACTAAATCAAAATCGAAAATCATTATTCATACTCATTATAAGCTAATAAATAAGAGAAATTTAACTGTAAGGAAATTTACTAGATTCATATTATGGACACACAATATGATTAACTTACCAAAGTAAAAAGACGTTTTATTTTAATAATCAAGTTACATGAATAAAGGATGATACTGGTTTCTTTTCTTTTCTTTTCTTCTTCTTCTTTAAAACTATTTATATGAGACAAATTGACAAACAGGCGTACATACTATAACATAACAACTACATAACAACACAAGCATTAATTAAATAATTTATGAATATAAACCAATTACATAGAAGAACTAATCGATCCATTCAGTAATCACCATACTTACATAATTGGATACTCATACTAATCACTATGTACTATTATATATATATATCTTTTTTTGTTGATAAAACAATAATGGATAAAGTAAAACCTTATTGTAATTTTGGTATTAGTGTTTTATATATCTGCATATAATTAATTGTAATTATGAAAGTATTCCATGATCATATGACTTCCAGTCAAGATAGCTGAGAACAAATCAATATGCTGAAGTAAAACAGACATATCATAAGTGATACACTTTATAGTAATGATATAAAAAGAAAGAAATAGATGGTTCTTGTTATATATTGACTTTTTTGAAAGGTAAATAATTCCCATAGATATTATTTTCAGAAGGGGTTTTGTGAAGATATTAGAAATTTCACAGATTGAAATCATGAGTCAGTTGAAGTTAGACTACCATGAAAAACCTGGAAGCACTGGACGGCCGTTTTGTCCTAGTATGGGACACTTCAACACTGTGTATCCACGATCCCACATCCCACGGGATACTTTTCGGTTTATACATGTGTACATGTTTATATGATATGAATGATTATCTAGTGTTCGAATTGGAAAAACTGATACAGTTCAAGATGACTTTTTGTTTGGAATCAAAAGAATAACAAATTTTTAATGAACAAGATATCTAACATATATATGGAAAATTGAAGAAGTTTCATGATTTAAAACTTTCAATTTTCGTATTCTCACAACTGAAAAAAACTAAGATATACAGCATTATTTTTATTCACTTTTCAAAGATTCATTCACATTGATATACCGATATAAGTTTATCAAAATATAATACAAGATATGCTCGTTTCTTTGATGTTCTGTTGACTCAGAGGTAGATATTTCGGAGACACAGACACGATGTAAGACAAATTAAAATGTCTTTACTTAAGATAATGGGATTCATCATTTATAAGTGACACTAATCAATGTTGACACGGTCATTAGCATGCCACTTTACTAAATCAAATGAGCGAGACCGTGATTTTATTTATACTACAGTGGGGTGTAATCACAATTGATTACTTTAGTTGTAATACATAATACTGACTCTAGACATGTATTTGTTAGTTCAAATGAGAAATTCAATAGAATGCCGTTTATAAATAAGATTACTGTTGACAGATATGGTTTTACTCAAAAATGAGGACATTATACGGATAAAATCTCCCAGGTTGGAAACTTATCCTTTACTAATGATAAATAGAAATCAGTTTTCCAATTCAATTCTATAGTGGTAAAATCCAATTAACTAAACTAAATGATATTAGGTTAAATTGGGATTCCTTACTCTCGTCACTACATCATGAGATACGTTACGATAAAAGACAAATTTAATTCAAATCTATCTGTCAGTAACGTCACACCAACCTATCCAATTGTTACCTACAATCTTTGTTCTGTTCTCTTGATAGGATAAATATAAATTCACAGGTCTTATAGAAAACAAACCATTCCAAATAAGTGTCGTTGATGAAGTAGATTTTGGCTAGCAGATGAATTCAAGATATATGTCTCATTGTGTTTGGGAATCGTCAGGTGGATGTACTTTCAACTATTTGGTGATATTCAATATGAAATTCAAACGCACTAATAGTCACTTCAAATTCCAGAGTTTAAATTGTTTATTCAGGTTAGCGATTTCTTTGGCAAGGTTGTTTTTTACGGAATGGGGTTGCCGACCCCATGCCCAACCTTTCTACTTTACCCGGATTTGGAGCCGGCAGTAATTCTAGAAGAGCTACAAGCAGAGTTATTTGTCCTACTGGCCCAGAAAATATGTTGGTTGAGACCTTGAGTAATAGCATAAACGATGTCCTCCAATTGCATGTCTCTCTTATAACATCACTTGCTGTTTGACGTTCATGTGGTAAGTAATTTGCAATTGCCAACCCTATCAAATCTTCAGTAAAATATATCCGTAAATTTATGGAAAATGGTCCTGTAGTGAACGAGAACACACAAGTGGGGACAACCAAATATATATGAGTACAGAATTACAAAATCTCTTAGTACAGTCTGAGAACCATACAGTAAATACTTTATTTGCAAAATATCAACCAGTTGTTTCAGACTTGATCGTTTCTTCACTTCCACACCAATCACTCTGTTCTCGTTCTCTTTTCTACAGCCAAACATTTCACTTTCAATTAATGATACATACTACTTATATCTGTCGACATCAGTAGCACACACCACAGTACTTCCCTAAACAGGAAATATCGGAACCATGTCACAGGGCTATTCATACCTGAATAGTTCAAGTAAAATGTAACTCTGTACCGAATTGCTTTGCCTAGTGACAACATTGATCAATAGAACTCAAGGATTAAAGAGCATAACATTGATTAATATTCAATGATGAGAGAGCATGAGTTAAAAGATTTTGTTTTTATTAAAACTAGTTGATTATTTCAACTATTATTATTAAGCAAACTTTTCAAGTAGAAAGACTGAAATTTTTCAACACAATGTAAAAACTTGGTTATACGGAATTTGAGTTGTAAACTAAATCTGATCAATTAATACCAATATGATTCGAGTTTTTTTAAATATTTATTTGTTATCACTAAGTAAATAAAGAGAACTTAGTGGAATAAATAAAGAGAACTCAAAAAGTTCTGGATGTTAGTTGCCACTCCGTGTAAGTACATCAGTCCTTCACAATTGATTGATCACTGGGTGGTGATCAATGTCATGTGTGTCAAGTCCTTGTTAGTGCAGATCTAATGCTATCGACCATGTTGCAATGTGGCCACCAATCTAAGTGACTCGACACTGCGTGCACTATGTTGGGATTAGATGGTGGTTGGAGGTAGTCGACATGAAACCCTGAACACGGGTTTCGTGCTACTTGGCACTCGTCAGCAAGGTGTACCTGTAATTTTGAGGGAACTGGTCCCAAATAGCACGAAACCCGGGTCCAGGGTTTCCTGTCGACTACCTCCAACCACCATCTAACATCAGTCCATTCCTAACCAGATTAGTGAGGATATCCTTGAGTGTCATGCTTCTTTGAAAAACGGTTCAAGAAGCATCTCTCTAAAATAAACATCCAAGTTTTATACATCACTATGAATGCAGTGAATAGTTATTGAATATTCATTTTTGAAAAGAGAAAATTCATTGGAATTTGCGAAAGATATTAAACTAGCTTCAGATTAACATAAGTTAACAAGATTTCGCACTCAGCATGAAAGGAAGAAATATTAACAAAGATAAATTTTATCTTTGATAGACTATTATTACGAATAGACCATGTACACGCACTGATCAACTGGATAGTGGTACGATGTGGTCTGTTTGTATGATAAATAAACCCAGTATGTTTGAAAAAAATGATTCGTATCTCAGAGTGATTGCTGTTCTGGACTTAACAGGCGAGGCTGGGCGGGAAGCAGGACCGATAAAGACTCTAGACTGCTCGTACGGGTTATATGCATCATTGATTCGGTTCTCAAATTGGCGGTATCATTACGGCATACATTGATAGAGGCACAAACCCACAAGTTATAACAACTTTATCACCAAACAAGTTCGAAATTTAGTTATTTATGACGCGTTATGATCATATATGTGCATAGTCACTAGAATTTTTAGTTCCGGTTAATCAAGGATAATATAGAATACTTAACTATCCCATTGGTGTTTTGATTAGTAAATTAGGAATGGGAGAATTTTTTGTGAAAGATCGAGCATTAATGCATACATTATCGTTATTGTTAGTGAATTTGAAATAGTATAACAAAAAAGTATTAATCCCAATAAGTCTAGAACTTCGACATGACACAAACAAGAACTGAAATTTGAAGTACGTAGTATGAAATTGTATTGTATTATTATGACAGGTTTAAACACAATATGAAATATTTAACTGCGCAGTAAATGTACTGGTTATTCATCACATTGGTGTAAGTAAAATCATAATAAATTGTAATTAAATTTCACATATTCTCAGTAATGTCTCCAGACCTGCTTTATTTAAGGCTTAATTTGTTTTCCGAATGCTGATTTGTTGTGGCTCGACATTCTAATCGACAACGCGTAATACAGCCTAAGTAGGATCAGTGACCTACAATGGAGGACAACTGGAAAGAAATCAAAGAAGCACTAACTTCAACGTGTCATGAGGTTTGGTTCTGGGCCATATGAAGCATCATCATAAGAAATGGATCTCTATCGAAACCCTAGACAAAATTCAAGAAATGAAGAACAAGAAGACAGCAATTAAGATCAGCCGAACAAGAACAGAGAAAATCAAGGCACAGTCTGAATATACAGAAGCAAACAAGCAAGTGAAGAGGAATATTTGAGCTGACAAGCAGAAATGCGTGAAAGACCTGGCAGAGATAGAGGAGAAAGCTGTAACATAAAGAAACATTAACCAACTATATAACACAACGAAAAAACTAGCATGGAAACACAGTAAGTAAGAGATACCAGTCAGGGAAAAAGAAGACCAGCCAATCACTGAGGTTCAAGAACAGTGGAACAGGTGGGTAGAACACTTTGGGGGACACTTAAATAGACCAGCACAGCCGAAGTCACCGGACATCGAAGCATCTCACACAGACCATCCCCTAGATGTCACTCAACAAACGATCGAAATCAGGTTGGCCATCAGACAAAACAAGAGTAGGAAAGCAGCAAGACCTGAAAATATACCAGTCGTAGCACCACAAGTCAGACATAGAAGTAATTCCAAACAAGATACACGTTCTATTCAGGAAGATTTAGGAGAAAGAACAAGTGACACTGACAAACTGAAAAGAATGATACCTCATCAAGTGCAGAAACTAGAGGAGCATTACATTAATATGAGTGCGAGTGAATGCTTTCAACGGAGTGTTACTGAACCGGATGAATGATTTAGTAGACTCTCAGCTTCGAGATCAACAGGCTGGATCGCCTAAGGATCGGTCGTGCACAGACCGAATCGCGACACTGGATAGTCGATGAATAATCGATTGAATGGATATCATCACAATACGTCAACTTCTTTGATCACGAGAAAGCGTTTGCAGTGTGGACAGGAGGACATTATAGAACCTTCTTCAACACTATGGAGTTCCTGAGAATATCGTCAGCATCATCCAGAATTCATACTATGGTGTGTGCTACTTATATTGACATAAGTAGTATATGATGTTAGTCGTGAACTGAAGGTCTGGCAGCAGAGAGACAAGCGAATCGAACAGTAAAGAGTGGAAGCAGGATGCAATTTGTATGAAAATGCAAGAAAAATGAAGTCTGAGTCTTTTTCAGACAATTAATGGATGTTTCGCAAATTAAACATTTACTTTATGATTGTTAGATTTTATTAACAAGTCCTGTAATTTTGTGTTAAATACATTCGATTGTCCCCACTGGTGTTCTGTTCACTGCAATACGGTGCACCACACTGCAAGTGTTTGAATGGAGAACAGCTGACAGACGCATTCCGAGTGAGGAGCGGTGTCAGACAAGGCTACCTACTCTGCCCCTTTCTCTTTCTTCCGATGGTTGACTGTATTATGAAGACCTCGACATCGAAGGGAAGCACAGAATCCAGTGGACAGGTTGGACGCAACTAGACGATTCAGACTTCGCAGACGACCAAGCTCTTCTATTCCATACACACCAACAAATGCAGGTCAAGAAAAACAGTGTGGTATCAACCTCTGCATCAGTAGGCCTCAACATACACAACGGAAATACAAACATCCTCAAATACAACACGGAGAACACCAACACAATCACACTTGATGGAGAAACTCTGGAACAGAAGGGAAGTTACACGTACCTGGCTCATCAGCATCAACGATGAATGTGGAGGATCTGATGCAGACATGGAGGCAAGGAATGGTAATTCAAGAACAACATTACTACAGTTGACGAACGTACGGAACTCAAAATACCTGTCAACCAATATCAAAGTCAGATACTTCAAAACGAACGTCAAGACAGTTCTATTGTACAGAGCTGAAACATCGACAACTACTACAACCATCATCAGAATAATGCAGGTATTCATAAACAATTATCTACATGGATACCATCAGCAACAACCTACTGTGGGAGAGAGCAAACCTATTTCTAGGTGAAGAGGAAATCGGAAAAATTCACTGGATGTGGACAGGGCACACTTTGAGGAAATTATCAGACTGCATCACGAGGCAAGCGCTAACTTGAAATCTTGAGTGCAGACGGAAGAGAAAATGACCATGGAACACATTGCGCTAGGAATTGGAAGCAGACATGTTATCTTCTCCTCTCATAGTCACCTAGTGTTAAGTTTCATGTGACACGTATAAAAATGTACTGAATCATGGTGCTATGGCATAGATCATAATTTCTCCACCTCATAACGGTTTTTCATGATATTTCGATAACGTTTGCATTTAACTTTTATGCCCTATTTTGACAGTATACGCTTGCAACTTTGATATATTACACTATCGCTTTTGAAGAATCAGGCTAATATAATGAATTTTTGAGCTAACTCGGAAATAAAATAGTATGGGAAGGGGTTTTGTGGAGATTGTAGTAATTTCAACAGTTGAGATCATGAGTCAATTGAAGCTAGACCACCATGGAAAACCTGGATGCACACTGCTGAGGAGTCCCACAATAGGACGAAACGGCCGTCCAGTGCTTCCAGGTTTTCCATGGTGGTCTAGCTTCAATTGACTCATGATCTCAACTGTTGAAAATAGTATGGTTTGTTGGGAAGATGCATCTCGTCTACACAGTATACTAGATCACTGAGAAATATGCGTGATCAACTGTTCTCATTTCTTGTCATATGGGACACACATGGTTTTGTAATCTTCTCAGAATATATTAAGCGGTTCGAAAGCAGCTTTTCACGACATATTAAAGATATGGAAGAGGTTGAACCAATAGTTTGATTTTCCACATGCTCAACTTTCGACACTTAAGCAAATACTGCTTATCCTCAGGAGAAAGCTGCACAACTGCAAGCTAACATCATCCTAAATTAATTTTTCAGGTATCTGATTCTGGCTAACTGATTCCTATTCATCATTAGTAAAGGATAAGTTTCCAACCTGGGAGATTTTATCCGTATAATGTCCTCATTTTTGAGTAAAATCAGATCTGTGAACAGTAATCTTATTTACAAGCGACGTTATTTTGGATGGCATTCAGACGTAAAGGCAAGGACTAGCAAAGCCAGGCACCGCATTCCTACAGTTAAAGAACATATAGAGGTCAAAACAACTTTCAACCAATATCAAAGTCAGAATCTTCAATACGAACGTCAAGTCAGTTCTACTGTACAGTGCTGAAACTTGGAGGACTACCACAACCATCATCAAGAAGGTATAAGTATTTATAAACAGTTGTCTGCTGAAGATACTCAATATCCGTTGACCGAATACCATCAGCAATAGCCTTCTATTGGAGAAAACAAAACAGCTTCCAAATGAAGAGAAAATTAGGAAAAGACGATGGAAATTGATAGGACATACGTTGCGGAAATCACCAAACTACATCACGAGACAAGTGCTAACTTGGAATCCTGAAGGGAAGCGGAAAAGTGGAAGGCCAAAGAACACATTACATCGTGAAATATACGCAGATATGAAAAGGGTGAAGAACAACTTGAAAGAGCTGGAAAGGATTGCCCAAGACAGGGTTGGATGGAGAATGCTGGTGAGAGGCCTATGCTCCTTTACGAGTAACAGGCATAATTAATGCAAGTAGTCTGACATATTCTGAAGATTTGCAACTAATATTACCTCATTCTATTTAAAATTCAGCCAGATATTCTTATTACACTTTGAAGTTAAGCGTAATTACCTGAGACAAGTTGACTTCTAGTGTTTAATTAAATTACACACTAAATAATCCTTTAGCAGCAACCTCTATTATTTTAACTAGCCCTTATGTGTTGTGCATAAAGTTGTAATACAGTTCACTGTGACAGCTAATAGTGATATCACCTGACTTCCAATTAGTAGGGTAGAGGTTGAAATTTTGTTCCACATAAATAGATTAGGGTAGCTAAGCAGTATATCATCAAGTCTTACATAAAGCGTGCCTGCAAGCCGAATATAGAAACTAACAATTAGTCGTAAAAGGTTACTAGCATTGGTTTTCTCCATGATTTTAGTAGAACGGTGACTTGTTTAAGGTGCTCGATTTTTAGTCACTAACTCATAAGTTCGAACGCCGCTCCATCTACTTTGGTCTGGATAACTGAGTAGTATCACAAGCCCTCACACTTGGAGTGTGGGTTGAAGACGTACATTAACCTGTATTCAGTCGATTGAAATAATCTTAGTAATATTATATGATGTTTTCTACACATTTATCTTATGATTAGTCATACCTAGTCAATCACCTAACAAATAGCGAATTTACACTTGGCTATTATTATGATACATAATTAGGATTATATTGAAGAAAAGTTGAATGATTTTGAACAACGTTGTCCTGAAACTATCGGACGTACAACGTTTATTAATGTTAATGATGTGACAAATCATAAAAACCTATCACAACTACTTACACGTAGTCAGTTTTATTAGAACACCTTGTTTTTTATATCTATGTTGGGATGACTAAGATGCAAGTTCCGAATTGCTCGCCGGCCCTTCTGAATCCATACCAAGATTTTGTCAAATACCAATTCATCAGGGCTGATAGAACTTCTAAAATAAGTGAAGTAGTTAAAGCGACCATTTAATATACTCCTTATCATTAGTTCAAGCATTGATTTAAACCAGCTTTGAAGTAAATTTTTCTTTCAATTAAGGGGAGAGGACAATGTTTACATTGTTGATTAGGAATAGAAAATTTCTCATTTACTAAGAGTTTCCATCATGGAATGAATGATCAACGCTAAGGAATATCAATATAACTAACTCAATGGATATTTATAATTGACAAAAGTACGTGAAGATACAACAATTAACTTGTATTTTTTTTTACTGTTGAATAGTTTTTTGGAAAAGTATTAATAGGATAATCTGGACTTGTTTCTTGTTCTAAATTATGTAATTCAGCAACAAGTTTATCACGTAATCGATTACTGACACGATCTAAATCTAATTTTCGAAGAATCAATTTTTCTTGATTTAATGAATTCACTTGTGCTAACCAACGAAAATCGCCTAATATTAAAAATTGTTTAATTTCTGATACTAGACGAGTGATATTTTCACAAGCATGTACCTAAAAAAATAAAAAAAATTATCACTATTATTATTATTACAAATATGAATAATAGAAATGTTTTATGATAGTGTATTAGCACGGATTCGAAAAGCTCGTTTGCTAACTTACGTCACCTATGGCGAAGGCGAGATATCCGTCTATCAATAAAAGGACGAGTATACTGCGCGGCAGTCCGTTCTGTTTTAATTTACGGCAGCAAAACATGGCCATTAAGAGTAGAAGACACTCGTAAGCTACTAGTATTTGACCACAAATGCCTTAGAAATATTGCTGGCGTCTTCTGGGATCACCGGGTAAGTAATAGTGAGGTTAGATGCAGGGTATTAGGGAGTGATGGTAAATCAGTTGATGAGGTTGTGAATCTTCATCAACTGAGATGGTTGTGCCACGTGTTACGTATGCTTGCACACCGATTACCACAACGCGCAGTACTGGCTATTGTTGGGAATGATTGGAAGAAAGTTAGGGGTGGCCAAACCAAAACGTAGCATCAGTGCTTGAAGTCACTAACTTCTAGTCTGAGCCATGTTGGTAGATTCAAACTACTTGGTTGGAGTCCGCGTGACTATCGTAACCAATGGTTGGAGACTCTGGGTGACATGGCTCAGAATCGATCATAATGGCGTCGGTGTATACACTCTCTGTCTTCCCTTAAACTAAGAGATTAAAATCGCTTCCTATCTTTCCTTCTTTCTACGAACTAATTCTTTCTTCCTGTACTATATCCTTATTGCAATCTTTCTTTTATATATTACCACCTCTGAATTAACTACTCTTATGAATCCGGTGTCCATCTTGTTGTGTTATTGAGGTATGGCAACTTGGACTGATGCATATATGTGCCTGGTCTTACGTTGTAGCTGACTGACAGACTGTATTAGTAATGACATTAATAATCACTCTGAAAACAAATTTCGAACAATTACAATATAATGTTGGAAATAATTCATTTGAACTGATAAGATTGTATAATGAGTTAAAGAATTACCATATAAATTCATCAAAGGAATATTTGGACAACAGTTGAAAGAACACATTTAGAAAAGCGAGATGTATTCATTCTATTTTGTTGATTATCATCATTTCAAGAGATAATATAGAAGTCGTAGCACATAATGCCGTTAAATATGTGTTTATCCTAGGCTTTGGATAGAATTTAATAACTTAGGCACTAAGTGACTATTAAACCATTTTTACCTTTCTACTAACCGTATTCTTTCTATTATCCCTGTTTTGGTTTGAGCGCCCAGGGAGTATTCCAGACCTCACAAAAACTGAATGACGAAGTGTGGAACATATACATCTGGTGCTTCATTGTACCAATAAAAATAAAACTTTTCAATATTATTAATTCAAACACAAACATTGGTACAAAGGAGAAGCAAAATATATAGGCGCCACACAGACCAATAAAGTTGTGTGGTCGCTGGGATACTCCCCGGGTGCCTAAACGAAAGTAGGTGGTTTTTTTTAGCAGGCAACTATCAAAGCCTTTGATTCAGAGGTCTAGTCCACAAGGCAGTGGAACAACGACAGATGTGGTCCTATAGTAAACAGTGACCACAAATAAGTTCACACTTTTTGTTCCCTCAAGGTCCTGGAGCCCATGTGCATTTCTGGTTTGGAATCAGGGTTTTTCAGCATCTCGAGGTGGACCCTCAGCCCATTTCATAGGCTAGACGCTTGCTTTTTGTTCTCTCAAGCTCGTAAACCCCCTTGCGCCACGAGAAGGCTGCGATTAAGACTTGACTGATAGTGTCCATATATGCGTGGTTATATGAAAGCATTTCTATAAAGAGAGAGGATGCTTGTAATGAGTAGTATTTCGAGTAGGCACGTTTGCTTTCTCCATTGCTTATTCCTTCGTCTGTCAGAAGAATTGAACGTATGAAATATAAACATCTGAAACACTCGTATTGACTTTTTATAACTACGTTGTTATCAACGGTATTCATTGACAGATTATATACGATGTATGTGGGGTCCATATTTCGTCTACATCAATAACGATCCGAATCATACAACGGCCACTAAGAGCTAATGAGAAAAGACCAAGAATAAAATAAATTTATTTTACGCTAAAAATGCTATTCCAATTACGTGATATAGAATAGTTGATTATTATTTTAAAACTTGCAATCCATGTTGCGAATGAAATTTAGTATAAATAGGCAACCAACTACAAGTTCATGTACTCGAATTAGAACAAAATTGCTGTGAAGGTTAGGAATAACACCCAGTTTTTTTAAAATATAAGTAGGTGAAGTGGGTTTGCAACTTGAAACACTGGTTGAGTCATATAGATAACTACATCAATTGTCTTATTGTCCACATGATCCTTGAATACAGTTTACTGATGTGAATAGCTAGTTTTAAGCAGTCAATATTAGAACTCAATATAAGAACGTGATGGTTACTCGCAAGTATAATATATATATCAGCAAATATTTATTAAAAGTTCACCTTTAAAAAATGTCTGAAAACGCTAAGTCTACTGAGTCAAAAATAGAATGAAGTTGGAACTGTAGATTATCGAGTTTCTAACCACTGGTTTAATGGTAAAGTATCTGCCTTAAGTTATGAAGATTTTGCGTACGATTTTAGTGCAGATGTGGTTTTGAGTTTTTGAGATAGTTGATCAATAATCGCTAACTTTTAGTTGTTCTTCATCCGCCAGTCGAGAATAAACATTAACGTAAGGAACAAATCCAAACGAAGAGAAAACACACTGATTATTTAATGAATAAGGGTTGGTGAAATCCAGTTTGAAAAAAACATTCGGACAACTATTCTCTCTATAATCACAAGGAAATTTCACAATACAACTTACTATATTTGCTGCTCTTACGCTGAATTCAAATGTATCTTGAGCACACTGAGCATATGGACCAAGACCTTTAGTAACCTCATTTGGGTCAATCTAAAATTTTGTAATTACAGACAGGAAAAGTAAGCACAGGAATTTACAGTGTACCTTGGATCGTGATAAAATCATTTCATAATTGGATAAAATTGAATTAATATTCGATCGAAGTCTAGATTTCAACCCTTGAACATGTGTATTTCTTTTGCGTGGAAAATTAGGTTGATTACTTGACGTTGACCGTTGATTTGACTGCATATAATCTATAATTGTGGATGAAAGAAAGGTTATAAATGAAATTTCAAGGTTCAGATGTACTATAACATTAAGGCAGGAGAGGACCACATATGAGGACTACTACAGCATAACTTATTAAATATTGTATTTTCCTGCATTACTAGATGATAAGGAAATGCATTTTCAAGTATTAGAATATGCACTACCTTTATGACCCAAAGATTAAACAAAATATATTATCTACATTGATGTACGGGCAGTAGGATTTGAAGCAATAATTCAGTAGACAGAGCAATCATTAACTATTCTACGGTCATCGAATAGTGTAAACACCTAACTTTTAGTGATTTAGCAGAAGATTTGAATCCTGCTCCATTTATCTTAGTTTGGGCAAATGACTGGAATTTCATTTATTTTAACAGACAACGTTTTTAAGAAAACAAGACCAATATATCCATCACGTTCCGTGAAACAAAAATAATTGTTAAAAAATATGATGTGAAAAATCATAGAACTAAAAATAAAATATGTTAAAAAACAACATCAAATTACGGACATGACCAAGAGAGATTTCGTTCATTTCCAAAATATATATTTTATTGTTTATGAAAGCATGCATTGATAAAGCTACTACAGGATCACCACTGGCTCTTATTCTGAGCTATATTTTATATCCACGACACCACTGAGGAGGATCGCTAGCAGCATATAAAATACGGCTTAGGGTTAGTCAGTCTAGCACTGGTGAGAAAAGATGGCTAGCATGAAGTGCTTTTAAGGACATATAAAGCTTGTGAATGAAAATCTGGACACTACTACACAATATAAAATAACCTTACACCAAGATATACGAAGAATTGACCTAATCATACCTTGTTTATGAAAGCTATGATGAAAGATGCAGTAATGGCTTATTAATTGAAGTAATTGATTTATAACAGTGAGATCAAAGTTCAAATGCCGTCCTCCCTAACTCAAATAAGACAGATTAGCAGGGAAAATTAGTCCTGATGCCAAGTACACACTTCATTGCTTCAACTTTAAATAACTAGATGAGAAAAGTAACACTACATTTTGCTCCCAAAACAAGAATATCATTAAACGCACGGCGATTTTTGTATTTTTTGATTGATTTTTCTCATCCCATTTTTAAAAATTTTTCATTCCGTTTCGTCCAAATAAGTGACTAGTTTTAAATTCTGGATAATTGGTTATTTATTTCTTAAAATTGATATAAAATGTAAGTACTTGTCGACAGAACAACTTTTCAAATTATGGACGATAATAACGTACGAAGTACATTCGACTGAACTGGAGCAGACTGTAGATGCGTTATGCTTTTTCGCTGCAAAACCGTTTAAAAGCGGATGACACGAACTGAGTGCCGTTGTCGGTTACCAAGATCTCTAGAACCCCAAAACAAGCAAACAATCTTGACAACTTTCTTATTTTACTCTGACGTCGTGTTCGGCATATCATATACTTCCGGTCATTTCGTGAAAGCATCTACAACAACCAAGTAATTTCCACCTTGTATTGAGCCGACGAAATCAGCGTGTATTCTTTACCAAGGTTCGTCCAGTTTTGACCATGTTTGTGGTTCTGCTTTTGTCCGTTTCTTTGTGGCTTCTTGACAGGACCAACAACTGCGACACTTTTGTTTTGTATTACGGTCCGTTGACGGCCAATATACGTATCTCCGAACCAGTGACTTCACTTTAATCTCTAGGTACCCGCTATGGAACTGTTTAAGGACTTGATGTCGAAGAGCTCTGGGGATAATGATACGGTGGCCAAACATAATGCACGAATCAACAACTGTCGGGGAATCTCGCCGACGGAAATATTGTAAGAGCTCTTCATGCAGTCTAAATGAGGGCCAGTAGTTGAGTATACAGCGACGAACAATCTTCAACAGATTATCCTTTTTACTTGCTTGTTTACTGGCTTCAAATGTGACCGGCAGTCCGGAAACTGAGTCTGCCAACACTGCATGAACTTCAGCCTTAACTTCTACAGCAGGCATCTGCCTGTCCAAAATCCGTTGTCGATTGATAATTTATCTTGAAATCATAGGCCAGCAATGTAGTTGCCTATCGCTGTAGACGGTTTGCTGTGTATACAGGGACACCCTTCTTGGATCCAAAAACTGTCAGTAGCCGTTTGTGGTCTGTTAGTAAGGTAAACTGTCTGCTAAATGGCATATTGTTGAACTTTTTACAAAGAATATAATGGAGAGGGCTTCTTTTTCTATCTGACTGTAGTTCTTTTCTGTCGTCGTCAGAGATCGTGTAGTGTAGATGATTGTTTTCTCAGATCCGTCAGGGTAGGTATATGAAGTCACTGCTCCGATTCCGTAAGTCACTAGGGTCCGTACCCATGATTAGTATATCATCAAGATACGTCGCAGTACCAGGAATGTCTTGCAACATAGTGTCCATAACTTGGTGAAAGATTGAAGGGGCGGTCTTTACTCCAAAAGGAAGTCTGTTATACCGGAATAAACCTTTATGCGTGTTTGTTGTCAGGTAATGCTGTAGATAAGCTTCTGATAGATTCAATTTTGCGAAATGCTCCCCCACATTCGGTTTCGCAAATACGTCCTCTGGCAAAGGGTACTGATGAGCTTTAAGTCCTTTGTTTAATCTTGTCGAATAATCTGCACATAGCCGGATACTTCCATTAGGCTTCTAAACAATCACTATTGATGCTGCCCGATTAGAAAAACTCACTGCTTCTATGATTCCACTTCTTTGAAGGCATTTTAATTCTTGCTCAACAATGGGTAGCGCTACATAGGGAACCGGGTGCTTTGGTCTAAAAGAGAGGTGGCTCCCGATTTAAGAATTAGTAGTGGTTTTACCTTTTTGCGTATCCCCAATTCTTCAAACATCAAAAAACATCGTACTTCTTGGTAAGACGTATGTCTGAAGAACAATGTAGTGTTGTCTATAACTCCGTGCATCAAGTGGTTTACGGAACGATGTCTCCAGAGCCGTTGACGTCATCGCCAGCAAATGAGTTTCAGATGGAGCCTCCAATTCCATGGATGTTACAACGCCGTTGATCCAACAGACGAAAATTCCCAACTACCGAACAAACGTGGATTTGGATGCCACGTTAAGTAATGACGACGATGCCCGCGACAACCGACTGCAATCTTGCTCAGTCACCAACTCCTGATGGAAGTACTTGGGTTTTTTTGTCGCTGCAATGCGATGTTTCATTTATATTGTGGCTGGAACGCACCACCACAATTCCATGGATTCTACTAACCCATGTGCAGCGTTACTGTTCGGGACAATCTGAAATGTTAAGAGACCGAGTAAAGATCTTTTTCAGGGCCATGCACAATTTTATTTAATTTCTTTCGTTTCAATTGGTTGAAAAATGGCATCAAACAATTTTCTTTAATCTCATTGTCAGCGAAGTAGTTTAAATGTTTATCTGATAACTCCTTGCGTACAACATTTCAGTCACTACTAATGAAAACGTTTTTTTATCTTTAAGTGTTTACTGAAAATTGGTACAAGTTTAAGTTATCATTACCATTGATTTACTGTACAATAACTGGGAATTATGTACCAAGATTAAATCACTGGTACAACAACATTGTTTCTATAGGAAAGGTTAACTGAAATAATAATTTGAGATTAGTAATAATAACAACATGATCATAGCCCACATATTAGGAATACTTCTTTATGGTTTATCAAATGTCTATATCATCTAATGGATACTAATCTTTAAGATAATAAAGGGAACTATGATACTAATCTGTCTAACAATAGTACATGCAAAGTTTAATAAGAATATTTTAATGTTTTTTTAATTGTTCAACTAGAAAAATGTACGCCTTTAGTTATTAATACATCGAAATTAAACGTTGGTATAACTGAATTTCAACTGATACAGTTTACATTATTTACATTCAGCAGTATAATGGGTATAAGAAAATTTCTGATGTCAGACGTACATCTGTCCACTTACAATTAATACGACCATATTTCAATTACTTGTCAAAAAAGGCTATTTTTTAAACGTTTATCTGTTTCAGGTTTAATATTAAAACGTACCCAAATATTACAAATATGTACATAGAATTCGTCAGTGTCCTTTAATATGTTTAACAAATAAAACCTATGACTGGAAAAATGATTCCAAACTTTCTAAATAAATAATGTATGAGATGTCATTTACAAATAACATCAAAAAAAAATTCAGACAATGATTTGATCAGACTGCATACTTACAAAACATTTTCTATTGACGTCACGTAAAATAAACCTACCACACAATAACTGATCTAAATTACTACATATACAGAAAAGTATCTTTTTTCGTCAGAATTATATACTACTCAACAACATAGAATGGACAATGTACAGTTGAAAACAATTTTCACTTATAATGAATTTGCAATATAACGCAATTACAATCTTGCATTTATTAACGAAACCGTTTGCACGGGGAAATCCAGCAACTCTTTTCTATTATGAATCACTGTTGACGAAATCACAGTCATAAATATTATTTGGTTGAAGTTAGACATTAAAACCGTTTAATGTCGGCCGGCTTAGTGGTCTAAAGTTTAAGCGCTCGTGAGTGAGACTGATAGGTCTCGGGTTCGGACCTCATGAGGCGGGGTCGTGGGTGCGCACTGTTGAAGAGCCCCACAATAGGACGAAACGGCCTTCCAGTGCTCACAGGTTTTCCATGGTGGTCTAGCTCCAATTTACTTATGATCTCAACCATTGAAACTACTGTAATATCCACAAAAACCCTTCTGATATTAAATATTATTTGCTTCTTTATCAGAAATTATTATTATTAATTTGGGAAAGCGTAAAAGTTGTTTCATTCATCAATCTCTTTCGTTTAACGTGACTAATATATACCCTATTCATTATGTTATCACGATAACTTATTCATATGTTTACATATATATAACGATTATTACAAGACCAAACTATGTGTTAAAATAACTTATGGAAATGCTAAAATGAAAATCAGTTTACTACTTGTGCATTCAACATTTGATCAGCTTTCAAGTCCAGTAATCACTATTATCAATTCTTAAAAATAGTTGTCAGTTTTTCCCAGTTTACTTTTAATGAGATACATAGTCCTTCTCTTGTCACGAAACCTAACGACTTCGGATCCATTTCTACTTGATCAAAAAGTTTATCCCGATATATATTCACAGACAGTATAAAAGGGCAGTCAAATAGAATTGGCGTCTACTTTTTTCAGAAGTCGAAACTTTTATCAAAACTCGGATGGAACAGTCAGACAGAATTATTTACTCAAAATAAAATTCAAATGTAAACTTGTAAATTCTGACATTCAATCAAACCAGTTACTGCTACTTGGATTTGAAATAATCAGATTACAAAGATGCACATTTTACAGCCAACTAACAAATTATTACGGGTGACAAAATGCTTATCACGTGAACACACACTTTCAATAACAAGTTCACCAATCACCTATCTCAAAATTTTTAAATCATCAACAGGGGGTGGGGGAATCACAACCGCCGTGCAATAATTGTCAACCCAAAAACAATGGATGGAAGACACGCGATTCCGGTTAATATCAAAATTTTTATCGAGCTTGTAAAATAATCAGGAGATGAAGATCCTTGAATTCTCTCTAATTCTGTTACTAACCAGTCAACTTAGCTTTTTTGAGAATGGCAGAGATATATTTTGAGAATCAGATAGGCCATTTTGTGAAGGTATCAACAAAACTGGGCTAAGCAACTTCAGTAACACATATTGTTATTAATTTTTAGTCAGTCAAGATAGAAGCTGTGATGGATGTTTTATTTATTTATTTGAATACATAAATATTGGTACAAAATGGCACCAAATATATGTGCGCCATACCCAGATACACGAACCTCTCGACTACTTTTATCTGCTCACTATCCAGGGTGAGTATACGATCAGTCTTGTGAAAGTACTTTGCACTTTGATGCAAAGCATATACCATACCGACGGACACTAACTGCCAAACGATTAAGTGAGGATTGCATGGCTTGGGTATCATCGCACAATAAGATATCCGCATACTCAAGGTCGAGAATTCTTTCTCCAGAACTCATCAATTTATCTTTTACACAGTTCCCTTTATGTTTTGAAGAGAGTAAGAAAAAAGATCTGAGCAGAATAACAGGAATTTACTATATTTTGTTTGATTCTCGTCAGTTGCTTAAAAACTTATATTTACAAGTCATAATCATAAGATGGGCTTAAAAATACATGGAAGAGTTTCGTTGGGAGTTACTTCAAAGTGACTCATTTTGCAACTGATTTTTTAGGATCACAGGTTGTAAGCAACTGAAAATAAATTCGTGTGATTCCGCTCTTTTATTGAAAAAAAGGTCACGATGAACACCAGTGCTTACTTGTCGAACTAAGACAGTAACGCAAAGTTTATTCATAAGTGAGAATAAATAGCATTTCGGCATTATATCTCATGTCAGTTTGTGATGAAAACTCTAACTCTAATCCCTAACCCCAAATTCCCACTCAAAATCTTAACCCTAGTTCTTCGCTGATCTTTTACCCTCTTCTGACCCTAGAAAGTAGTTGAATTTGTTTAGGACCATTTTATTATTGCTTTTGAAACTTCATATCATGAGCATCCTGTCTCATTTGGTACGAAGAACCTACACTCCCATGGAAATCCTCTTCCGATCGTCTCCTTAGAGCGTGGCTCTGAACTAATAACCAGAGAGCCTAAACACCAGCTCAAACTACATGAGGCATGAAGCCAAGGCAAACTCAACTTTCTACTTTATGCAAAGGCGGCCTCGAGCAGTCACTCCAAAGTTGTTCGTAACAATGTTCGAAATGTAGGCACAGCTCCGCCCTGAAATCCATAATTTCATTGTGCCCCCTCGCTTCAAGAAACATCAATCTCTTAGACCAAGTACAGAAACGGACAGCCAAGTGAATGATGCGTATAAAACATAAATATTGCAAGAAGAGGCTTCGAAACCTGAGATTAGCCTCGCTGAACTACAGGAGAATAAGAAGTGATCTGATAATGACATATAACATTAAGTACGCCAAACCACCCGAACACGAGTATAAGAACACCACGCTCGTCAAGGCAACCCTCAGAAGATCACCCATTAAGGAGTGAATACCCAGGTACACTCACTTTCGCTTACTAAAAGTTGCCCTCATTTGAAATGCTCTCCTGGTCGAAGTGACCACGACCCTCTCAGTGGATAGCTTCAAAAGGAAACTTGACAAACACATACCCATGGATTACCATTTACCTGGTGAACCAGCTGCCTGATGCATGTTCCATAATTTACCTACTGTTATCATTATTACATAACAGTAAATACTTCCTATCTCTTTTTTTGTTATCTCCGTTTCTCTCCTTATTCATACAATTCGGTTTACTCACGCTATCGGCATCACCAATTAACTTATTTGTCTATCATTTCATGAAACGGTCGTTTTCTATTAGCAATAGAATTCTTTCCTTTCTATTTCTCAGATTACAACCAACCAAACTCTCGCCTGGCAATGTAGTAGGTGTTGATATACAGAAGCCCTACCGTATTGAGACACCCAATCTTTCGATTTCGGGGTTTTCCACACATTTTGGGGAAGTCCCCAATATTTTCCCGAAATTTTCTATAACGGTTTACCCAAAACGGATAAAAAAATTCTCCCAAAATAAGATCTTATTTTGAGTCCATTTCCCAATGTTCGAAGACTCATTCTCCCACAAGACATACAAATCCACAAACAACTACCAAACTAACGAGAACTAGAACAGTCAAATGGCTATACTACCCTACTGATATTGCAAGAGACCTAGAACCGTACAAAACAACAGGCGAGGACAAAGCAAACGATCGGTGTAAGTTTCGCGAGAAAGACGTTGAATATGAATGACCTCGATTAAAAACAAATCTCTAAAGAACTGACTACTTTGAAAGCCAACTGCACAAAGAAAAATAAGGTTATCACTTACACAGGGTTATTTCACAATAAATAAAGCCCGGCTTTCACAGACACAAATTGTTTATGCACCAAGGTCAAGAAGCCTCAAAAGAATTGGTAGGTTTCAAAATTCAATAAATTAGTACAAACATCTTTTGTTTAGCAATCTTATTTATTAGGGTTTCCATTATTTGATCGTGACCAAGATTGACTTTTTTAATTTAACTTTATCGTAGCACGTTGCCGGCACATTGACAATAAGGTAGTGTTTGACTAGACTTAAGGTTACAGCGTGGTTCGGTTGGTGATTGTTGACCTTAGTCTGCTTCCTAGAAACGGTGAATCGAGCATTTTCAGATAGATATTTGATCCCCTTTTGTTCAGAGAGCTCTCAATAATTCCCGAGTCTCTGTGGAGATAGTTGACATGAGCTTATTCTGATATTAGTATTTGCTGTTGTTTCAATAATTTATTATTTCTCATAAACTGTGCAGTTACTACTACTGACTGTAAACGTTTTGTTTGAAAACACTTTGATTTTAATATTTCGTTCCAAGTCTGCTCTCTCGTGGCATGACACATCTATTGTCACCGATACATATACTTTTGCGCGCACATACTTCTTGTTCTCACTTATCATCAGTCCCGATAACATGACTCTGATATATTTGATGTTTATATTCACAGATGGTATTGATATCCTCGTCACGTGATTACTCTAGATACACATCCTGGATTTCATCAGCCATATTTGGGATCCCCAAGCAACCAATAAAGGGGAAGTAAAGGCGAATAAAGGGGAAATAAAGCGGACGAAAGCGTAAATAAACGGGAAATGTCGCTTTTTCGCCTTTACGTCGTGTATTTGGGGAAAAATTTGTCGACAATTAGACGTTACGCACATTGTTTGAATGAACCGCATTCAGAACTTAAGTTTTCATACACGTCGACAAATTAAGGCACCGCTTAATAAAAAACCAAAACTATTGTCATAAAAACAAGGTACAAAACGAGCACTTCAGAATGCAGGTTTTAAGGGTGCATACGAAGTAACTGATATTTGTTATTTCAACTTCAGGTGCCTTAACAAATCGCTTTCTGTCATCCGCTATCAACGAAAAAGACCGTCGTAAGCTGTACAACATCGTGACACAAGATTACTTTCACGATATCCGAGACAAAATGATAAGGCGTAATAGAAGGGAACAAGATCAGGTATGTACTAATTTAAAGTTATAACTTCCCTACGGCTCTGTAGTTACAGTCAACAATATTAACGAACATAACCGTAAGTTCAGCTTCAAGTATTTGTCTGTGCCAAAGCATGTCATTGAGATATGCTTGTGACTTTTTTTGTTGCTTTTACTTTAGAATTCACGGAACGACTACCTCAATTCTCAATAGCCGAACGAACGTGACTGAAGATCATAGTCCGTGCAATTTTCTTTATGTTCTATCTCATTTTTATTAAACAAATTTTGGTAAAAGAGCTGACTTCATTAATTACATGGAAAACTATAGAAGTGTTGAGAATTTGTGTTTGAGTGTCAATGAACTTTTGATTAAATGCACATTCCTTATAAATAATACATCACCTGTTCCTTCTTTTGCAGATAATTTCAAATAACAATGAATCGGCAATTGCAATGGATATGCAAAAAAATCGATGTTGAAGCTTCTGCTCTAATGTTGTACAATAATACGCTTTTCCTTTTCAATAAAATTTTTTAAAAATATACCGGTCTTTCAGTGCATTGCAGTTTTATTTTGGTCTGTTGTTCAGAATATAGGAGAACATAGGAGACCTTTGAGGTTATGTTATTGTATCGAAAATAGGGAGTTCTGTGTGTATTTAGCCGAAAAGTAGACAATTAAACGTATAAGTAGGCAATTCCGCGGAAATTTGGGCGAAAAGTGGAAAATTCGGCGGACATTTAAGCGAAAAGTAGACAAATCAGCGGATATTTAGGCGAAAAGTCGGTAATTTATCGACAAAGCGTCAAAACAGGGGGAAATCCGTAGTATTTCCTTCGGACAGGCGAAAAAGGCGACATTCTGATGCGTTTTCCCCTTTATTTCCCCTTTTTGGTTGTTTGGGTCACTGACTACTTATTATGAATCACAGGACTGCAACTCGAATACGCCTCCTTTTTAAAATCTAAGTAACAGAGCATATTTTCCTCTGTGCATAATTTATACTTCAATACACTAACTAACGAAACCTTTTATTTTTTTAACAAATTTGTCCTAATTTAAGAATGGATATATTTGGTCCACCAAGACCCAAATACCTAATTATTGTTTCCTCCGCTATTTAGTACACTATTTCGTGATAGACAAACCTTGATTGTATAGCACAGGTTGTACCGTTTGAGGTATTTTGTATTGTGATATAATTTGTTTTCATTCTTAAATTAAAAAGGGATTAATTAAACACGGAGTTTTTGTTTGGTGTGACTTGATAAGAGTGACTCAAGAAAGCCTCCTACACTATGCAAAGGTAAGTGGTTCTTTCCATACATTCAATCCTCGGTTTATTAACTCTAAGTTCAGAACGAATACTGGAAGTTCAATCGCTAGTGTAATATATGCAATCCATTCAAAATCAATGTACAAATCAGTTGTAAAATTTAGAACGATCTTAAAGATACCATAAGTATTTGGAGTTTGACAACACGTTAACCAGTAGCATCTGTGATCAAAACGTGCCAACCCAGTGAAACCTGAGGTCAAGAGCGAATAGTTTCGAAGATATATTTGAAAGGCTATTGGTATATCGAGAAGTGACTGATCTAGGCTGGCTAGCGGCTGCAGAAGTTGGGCGCAGCGTACCTACTCGTGATCTGGTGCGGATGCGTGACCGAGCGCCATCAATCAGGTGAGTTCATCAAAACTAATATGGTCGGCACAAAATGTCGAAGGTGCACAGAGCTATTGATTTTAGGGATTTAGTTACCACTACAATCTGAGTAAACTCCAAGACTGGTGTAATGAATTGTTTCTCTCTTTTAGTACTCAAATTTTCGGTTCCATTCACACAGATAAGCTTACATCTAAGAAGAGTAAAATTTAAACGATAAAGTAACATTAGTGAATTAGGAGCGAGGTACTCTAAAATCATTCATTCAAAGAACAAGCCTTATCTTAAGTCTCTAAAGCTCGTAAACCTTCTGGGTTTATTAGTAGTACCTTTCATTTAAAGGGATCCGAAATGATTCTCTATAAGGTATGTCCTCGATATGTACTAGAATAGTGCATAGTTATATCCAGTTGGGTGCACTTCTCAAACCGGCAGGTTATCGACAGAATACAGGATTGTTTTGAGGGACTTTATGCTTCTGATCTTTTCTAGAAAGGTAGATGTTCAGCACAGAAACTGGGTTCCTTATTAGGTTTTACGAACTAAACTCAATCCTACTTTACATTTAAGAATTACACGTAATGAAACTGTAGCAAATTTCGATATCGCACGATATGCCATAAATTGTACATAATATTATAGAAATTAGGATGTTGTAGTGAAGCAAATCAAAGCCACCTTTTTCGTTACATTTTACGCGCGCCTATTCGTTAGGCTACGAAGGAAATGCGGTGAGTTAGAACTCTTACACAACCTAAATCGTCCGTCCGTCATTGAGCATGTCTTTTAGGATTGTTTGTTAAGGTCTTTTTGTATCTACTGAAGTCAACTTCTTTCAGTGTTGTTATGCACAAACCTTTCCTTTTGTGTGTCCAGTTTCTATCACCTATAAAGCCTTGGAAGACATTTATCATTGAAATCAGTTTTTGTTGTTGTTCTTCCCGTGAGATCACTAAACAATTTCATGGCTCAAGCAAAATGTCGTTGTGGTAGACTTACATGCTAATTCTCGGTCAGCGATGGAATGCACTGTAGAAAGCGCAATACATGGCATCGTAATATATATCCCGGACAAATATCTGCTGCATATAAAAAGTGGTGCGACCCACTATCACATTAGCTGTGCAAAGCATGCTATTCTACACCGTCTCTTCTGAGTCCTGAGACGATTGTGCTGTTGAACACAGCTGAAAACATGTCCTCAGATAAAAAGGAAGCACTAGATGAGCAGACTTCACTTTCCGGGGAAATAGAGGGCATCATGACGGGCCAAGCTATGGATTCGAATGAGACCATCAAGGTGGACCCCATTAGAGAAGCGGATGACAAGCATTCAGATGTAGGCATTGTTACAGGGGAAAAGAAAAGGCATGCTGAAAAGCGACAAAATATAGGCAGCACTAAGATATATGGGTCTACGGTTTCAGTTACGGATTCACATATCAACGCAGAACAGACTATTTGGCAGCAAAGCTTGAGCGGTGTGAATGATCTGACCAAGAGACATAATAAAGTAAATGAATGACTTACGGTTGCATTCAGAAAAACAAAAGTGGGGAAACAGAGTGAGACCTCTGCGATTGACGCTAAATCGGACAACAGAGATGAGAATATTTTAGGAAACAAAACCTTGCAGCTTGTTAAAACGGACCTCTCTGACAACCAGCCATTTCTCATAGGTCATGGGAATCTTCAACTCCGCCTGTAGCTCTTATGGGCTTACTGCCGGTCCTAAGCCCGGGTAAAGGAGGAGGGTTGGGCATGGGGTTAGCGTCCTTATCCCGTAGAAAACTAACTCGCTAAAAAAACGCTTACCAGAAAAAATAATCCAAACCATTTTAACTCTGCCCTGGGAGTTAGAAGGTCTTCATTTAGAAGAATTATGACGCTTCATGGTGAAAGCCGAGTTCCTTCGGAAGCCATGAGGCCGATGCCCCTTCTAACAACCAGAGCTGAAATCTTTATAGGTACATGGAACGTTCGAACAATGTGGGAAACCTGGAAGACCAGTCAAATATCAATGGAAATGAGGAGATACAACTTAGCAGTACTGGGAATCAGCGAAACCCATTGGACACAAGCTGGACAGAAAAGGCTAGCTACGGGAGAGATGCTGCTATACTCCGGTCACGAAGAGGACAATGCTCCACACACTCAGGGAGTCGCTCTTATGCTGTCCAAAGTAGCACGAAATGCACTTGTAGGATGGGAATCTCACCCACCAATGATAGCAACGACGAAATTAAAG